TAAAAAAAGACATCACCATGGAAGTCATAAACAGCTGAGATCTTTGGCAAAAAACAGTTCATATACCCCTCCCCCTCCAAAAAAGGGCAAATAAGATTGATTTGACTGAAATATTATAAAATAGGAAATAACTAAGTCCAATTACTTCTAGAATAGCTCATATTTAGGGTACACCAAGATACAAATTAAAGCCAGGAATTCTTAGAGCTTCTAGTAGCTCTGGGATTTATCATTAGTTCTGTCCCAGAATGGAATTATACCATTTTATTTTTTTATCAATTATAAAAAATAATTTCCTAAACCATAATTCTCCTTTGCTTATAGTTGAGGTCCAGAATTTGGAATTGCTAAAATCATCTCAGTTGCAGATTCGTTTAGGTTCCAACAATTAGTATTAAGAGAAAATTAGATGCAACAATTGGACTTCTTTTCAACAAAAACAACTGGAAAACCAAACCTGGACCAAAGCTCCAGAAGGACAGGTCTACAGAACACAGTTATTATAATATGATCAGGACACAGGCATTGAAATGAATGAATGCCGAACTTTTTTCCTTAAAGAAGACAGAGAACACCTTTTTCCTAGGCAATTATTTTCTACTGAGGTTCACAGAATGAAGTTTTAGCCTTTTTTTGCCTGCCTTGAAGATTCTGATTCCCAGGAGGGAGTCATCAATGTTTGAAAGGGGAAATAGATACGGGAAGAAAACAAGAGCATAGAATGCTGCTTTGGAAACTCTTACCACTTGGACTGAGGAGCATTTCTGCCTCTTTCCAGTGAGAAATTTCAGTTTCATACACAAAGATATAAATGGTCAGCTGATAGACTTTTATGTGGATTAAATGCAATGACAAGCCACATATGACTGCTCTATTTGATCAGAAGTAGAAGACCAAAGACATCCAGTGTGTTCTAGGTAGTCACTTAAAGTTAAATGGCATAATGTGCAAAAAGATGAAACAGACTTCCAGAGGTCAAACAACCAAGACAGGAAAATGGTAAGCATAAATCTCCCCCACTCAAGAAAAAAGCCAGTCATCTCACTTGGAAAGCCAACAAGTCATTATCAAAGGCATTTGTGGCTGCATGTTGATTCACTTTTAATTGATTTAGAATGAAACAGACACCTGATGAAATTATCTGAGTCCACAGGGGCAGAAAACTTTTGAAAAACTAAAACAGGGTATGAATTATTTAAGAGTTCGGAAGGCACCCAAGCATTTCATACCTTTTTATGACATCAGGTGACATATCAATTACTGATTTGGGGACAATTTTATTACAAGATCATGATAATGTAAAAGATCATGTAATATACCCCAGCAGAAAATGATTGCCAAGGGAAAGAAGCTTATTTGTCTTCTTTAAAGAAAGAAAGTTTGGCAATTATTTGAGCTATAACATCATTGTTTAGAAGAGCACCTTGAGGACTGATCATCAAGCCTTAACACTTGGATAAAAACTACCAGTGAGGAGCAGAGGTGGCTAGAGAAGATTATAGGATCTCAAAATAAATATTCAACATGCTCCCAGTTGGAGAAAATCCTTGTGAAGTTTCCCTCATAAAAACCAGAGCCTCTAAATGCATCTCCTGAGTCTATCCTAATAGGACATTATACTCATAATTTTTCTTAAGTGGAAATAGTTTCAGTGAGGGAATAGAAGGAAAAGCTATGTGCTGGATACTTGAGACCTCCCACATCTCAGGATGCTCTCCAGCCTCAGTGGGAGGAGGGGAAGAGATGTAACGACAATGGCATATTATAGCAGTAAGAAAACAGGACTGAATTATGATAAAACAAAGGAGAAAACCCCAGAGGTTTTATTCTCTTCAGGCTCCAAAAGCCCATGGGATTATTCCTGAAAGCAACATTTCTAAAAGCAAGTACCAATGTCCTCCAAGCGAATGGCCACATGGGGCATCTTCTGAGAAAATGGGTCTAAATACACCCTAGAAGACTTCCAACGAACAAAGATCAGAGGTCACTTGGCTAATCAGTTCTAACTGCCCAACACTGCCATCAAACTCTCATTCAAATGCTACAAATCCAAGATCAGTGATCCCTACTACTGCCAGGACAGATTTGGTCTCCTTGAACGCTTATCCTGGTGTAAGAGACTTCTTGTGGCTGGCTCATCTCTACAGTCTCACTGCTCTCACATTACGACCCCTCTCTCCTCAACCCCTTCTGACCTGTCGCATCTGAGCCTTGTAGGCTGAACGGCCTGAAGATTACAAGCACTCTGTGTCTTTTGTTCCCTGGGGATCTTTGCACACATGGTTCTCCGTGCCTGAACATTCTTTCTTCCTTGCCCTCCTCTTTCTCTGGCTACCCAGTATTCTTCCAGTTTCAACTTTAGTCACATGCCCTCTCCTGGACATTTCTTTAAATATTTCCCACCACTGAATTAGACACTCACTGCTGAATTCTCCTGGCACTGTTGAATTAAGCGCCCATGAAACTAACCCATGGTTATCTCCTTACTTGTCTATGTTTCCACAGACTGGGTTTATCTATGAATAAATCCAGAGACCACAAAGAGAAGGTGGGGACCACAAAGGCAGGACCACAGGAGGAGGCAATCAATCAATATTTCTTGAATAAGTAAAGAGTTTTTGTTTGTTTATATCTCCTGCACTGGTTATACTACCAGACATATAGTGAACTTTCAATAAATATTTACTGAGTTGGATGATAGGCATTAAAAATTGTTTGTTGATGGATAAATTAATGGACAGATGACAGGATATTTTATCTGTAAGAAATTTTAAATTCCAAAATTCTACTTGTTAACCTCAGTTATCATCTAGTTCTCTCAGACTCTCATTTCTGATCCTGAATTCCTCTCAAGAGATGTCCGATTTTTCAACAGTAACCAAGTCTTCAGATACCTTAATGGTGTTACTTTCTTCCCCAATTTACTCTATTTTTTTCATACCATAAACATTTTATAAACCATATCTTCATTTAAAAAAAAAATCCTGCAAAAATCCTTGCTGTCGCAAAATTTTGCAGTCACTGCTACTAAGAATACTGCATTGGGATAATGTCAAACCATTATGGAGGTGGGCCTCTAAAAATTCATGGTTTCCAACCTCAGGTAATGCTTCATACTTCTTTTAGCCAGTCCTTTTACTCAGAGTTACTCCTTCACATTCTTTCCCACTCTCCAACTTTCTTCACCCTCCCATTCCAACTATCCCCACCTCTTTTCCTAGCAGCTATCCTTGCCTCCTACTTTATCCAATTATTGAGGCAAAAGGCATCAACTCAACTCCCTGCCTCCATGCCAACCAAGTTCTTATATCTGTCTCTGTCATTGCTCCTTCTTTCTGCATCAAAGGATGAGGTGTCTGCCTGAAGCCCACCCTCCTCTGGAGAAGAACTCCTTTATCAGTGCCTTCAGTCTCATCCTCCTCCCTCCTCAATGGGACGTTACTCATGTTTTCACCTCTTTCTTCTATCTTCAGTTCACTCTTTGTTCCGGCTGTTCATCGTTGTCATACTAATAGACTAAACTTTCTCTGCGTTTGCTGGGAGCAGAGGGGTTGCTGTTTTGGGGGTTTTCTCTTTTGCTGTGTGTGTGTGTGTGTGTGTGTGTGTGTGTGTGTGTATGTGTGTCTGTGTGTGCATGTGTGTGTATGTGTGCATATGTGTGTATGTGTGTGTTTTGTGTGTGTGTATATGTGTGTGGATGTTGTGTGTGTGTGTGTTGTGTGTGTGTGTGTGTTTGTGTGTGTGTGTGTGTTGTGGTACTGGGGACTGAACTCAGAGTCTCACCTTGCTGGAGTAGCAGCTCTACCACTTGAACCACATCCCCACTTTGTTTTTATAGGGTCTCACAGTAAATGCCTGGGTTGGCCTTGGACTGTGAACTCCTACTTCTGCCCCCGAGTAGCTGGGACTATAGGCATACTCACCACACCAAGCTAGCTTTTGAGATAGGGTCTTGCTAACATTTTGCCTCAAACTGTGGTCTTCCTGTCTCTCCTCTCAAGTAATAGGGATTACATGAATGTACCACCATGCTCAGCCTTAAATCTTCCCTCTTAAGCCATTCTTCACTCTGTGTCCTCCTAGCTTTGACCTACTTTTTTCCTTCTCAGTCAAATTACTTGATGCATTAGTCTCTGTCTTCATGTGTGAAGTCAATGCTACAATTTGGATCTGGAATGTTCCCAAAAATTCCAAGTGTAAAAACTTCTCTCTCTCTTTCTTTCTTTCTCTCCCTCTCTCTCTCTCTTCTATGAACAAGTTTCCTCACCAGACACTTCTGCCATGCTCTACTGCCTTGCCAGCAGATTAAAAGCATCAGAACAAAGTGCCATTGACTGAAAGCATGAGTCAAAACAAACCTTTCCTCCTTTTAAGTTGTTTATCTCAGGTATTTTGTCATGGCAATGGAAAGCTGACTAACATAGCTCATGCATTCAAACTTTCATAGGTCATACATAGCAACAAAAATAAAGAAGATCCCATAACTTGAAATGATTGCTATAGTCAACATAAAATGAATCAGAAGAAAAGAATAATTTCCAAGTCAGAATAAGGCCCAATTACAGATAACAACAAGGCAGAGAACAAAACTCAGTGGTAAAGCATATCTAAGGCTCTGGCTTCAATTCAAAAGCACCAAAAAAATAAAAATAAAGAATTCTCTAAAGTAGATGGTCCAAAACTTCATTTAGCATTTTAATTCCAAAATAAGGAATGTAGGCTGGCAATATGTCACTCCAAGTCTATAATTTCCCCATTATGACTCCTGATTTTATTTGACTTCCCATGTAGGTTGTCCCAACAGAGATGGAAACTCTCACTTCAGAACACTCAGGACTGGAGATAAAGATTAATTTCCCTGCTCAGGCTGAACTACATAGGGTAAACCTGAAAGTTCATATCAAAAGTAAGAGCAACAAATTATTTCTTTAAAAGAGAAATAAATACTCATTTTATAGAAGTCATATGCAGGACCAAAACAAGAAATGAAATACTGTTACCATTAAAAAGTTGCCTGAAGATGTAGAGGTTGGAGCATCTCTCAAATATTAAAAGAGCTTTTCTGCATTAAGTAAACTGCTTTGGATAGTTTATTCTTCTTTATTTATTCATTACACTTAACTCTGTGAAGGCAAACAAATATTTTACCAAAGAGGCAAGATAAACAGTCATTCAGCTTTGAGGGAGAGTGGATACAGCTTATCCCAATTTTAATTACCTGTAAAACAATCGGTGGCTGGCAGATTGCTTTAACTTTTCTGAACATTTAGTAGACATATTTTTGCTAACAGTTTGAGTCTGCAAAACTGAAGAAGACTGTCATTACAATTAGGCTTTGCTTCCTCTCTCATCTGTCATCTTTTTTTCATTAATAGATAAAATTCAAATAAATCTCCTGTGATAACATTTTTAGTCAGATCTTCTTTTATTTGCCACGTATATCTCTGGAAGAGAATTTCCAAATCACAAAAATATTTCAGGATACAGTTATGCTGGCCCAGGGAGATAGAACTGTAGCACTGATTGTTGATTTTCAGGTCTGGTTCTCAAGAGATCTAGCATATTTTGTTTCTGTTCTGGAGTCTGGGAGGCTGCTGTACAACTTTACAATAATCCTTTTTATTGAGTTTTATACTTGTGCTAATTAACTGATGAAAAGATGGCAACAGACACCATTAAAGGATATAAGGTTTCTTTAATGGCAAAGGTAAGGGAACTTATCTGATGGGAATAGAAATGCAAAGCAGAAAATAACACATCATCCTCTCAGTACTGAGGGTATCGTAAATGCTAATTAAACATCCCTGATTATAATCATTGCTGATAAGAAGGATGAGATTTCAACAAAATTCTGAATGCAGATACAGATGAGTCATATTAATATCATGGTTAGCAACAGGCAGCATTGTAAAGTTCTTGAATGAGAAAGAGAAAAACGGTATTTAGGAACACTAGTCTGGCAGAGTATACATAGTGTAGAAAGAGAGAGGAACAAAGTCATAATCTGTAATATGTGGAAGTTCAAAAAAGCAGAGGAAAAAAAATCAAGGACACCCAGATTTACTGTGAAGAAATAATACTAATTCTCAAGTTACCATCAATACATTTAAAGTGTCTCTATAAAACTCATTTGGCCTTCTTCTTATGGATGATAATTAGAGAAAAAGCTATTTACTAGTAACACTACAATAAATAAGACCCTATTCCACTAAAGCAAATAAAACAGCTACTAAGTGAGACTCGTGAGCCTGTTTCTTAAGGGGACCTAATACAATAATTTATTCACATACTGAAATACATTTCTGAACCAAATCTTTTCCGTTCAAAGAATGTTCAAGGTTAAATGCTTTATTAAATTTTCAATTTTAATTATGATGAATATAGATAATTTTATCATTTGCTTTCTCCATACTCAGCAAGTCAACTGGGAGACAGTTTTTGAAACTATATAAATGTTTATAATAAATAATAAAAAGGTTGAAAACATTAAAAAAAGACAAAGTAGAGGAGAAAAGGATCTTGGTGGAAACTAAATATTTGGCTTGATCAAATTAATAAAACCACATAACTTACATTCAAATATAATTTATACTTTTGTTTAGAAGTTTACTTTGATAGTCAAAGTATAAAGCAATAATGAAAGGTATCTATTGATACACTTAACCAGAGAAGGAAAAAAAAATCAAATTTATTGCAAAAGACTCAATCAACAAGAACTATTTTACAAATTAAACTTGAGTCTATTCTTCAGCTTGCTTGAAACTGATTCCAGTGTAGTTATTTGCTTTGATGACTACTACCTTGCAGTTGGTCAAGAAGCATGACAGCTATTCGGTGCTGAGCTTGAATTAGTTCAAGATGCAAATCCATCAATGAAACTATTTTGCTGAGATTGGTTTGTAAGTGTCTCCAGCTATATCATAGAAGCACTTTGGTCCAGAAGAGTTGAAGTAAAAATGGAAAGGAAAACAGTTATCAAACACACTAAAGTTAGCTGCATTCTATCACCACTCCAAGTTACAATTTACTCATCATAGCCATTAAATCTGCTCCCCTCGCAATCGGCTCATCCACCAATAACACGCTCTGAGGACATCCACGGTGTCCTCCTCATGGATGATTTCTGCTGGGGAGAGCTATTTCTAGCCATGAGAGAAAGCTTCCACAAATCATGCTTTACTTGCCTACTTGCAAACTCAGCTCTCCTCTCATTAGGTAGAACTTCAACCATTCTCACCTTGACATAGCAGTGGTCTATTATTGACGATCCATTTGGCAAGGCAGTTAACATGTAATTTAAATTCATTCTATTGATGTCTTATCAAGAAGATCATAAGCGTAAACAACTGTTCCACAGGTTCTTTCTAAGACGATTTTATAAACAAAGAGGAAAAAGAAAACTTAAGGAAAAACGATACAAAATTTCCAAACTCCACAATAGCTTGAAACCAAACAGCAGAAGTTTAAACATTCAGCATCACAATGTTGTATGTCTTATATAAAAATGTTTCAGTGAGTGTTAAGTACTACCATGGAAGATGCAAATAATGTATTTCATCATTTTCCAAGTATAATTAAACCCATAAACATATATATAATTTCCATTTATTGTTTTCAAAATTCTTATCATGCTGGGCATGGTGGTACACACCTGTAATCCCAGCATTTGGAAAGCAGAGTCAAGAGGATCACAAATTCAAAGCCAGTCTGAGCTATGCAGAGAGCCCGGATCAGCCTGGGCTACAGAGTAGGACCTTCCTCAAAAAAACTTTCTAATTGTACCAAAATGTATGGGTAAATTTTAAATATAGAACTCACATAAATTGTCATTTTCTCACACTTAGGTTTTTTAAATTATTATTTTTTTTAAACCACAGAATCTCAGAGCTAGAAATTTAGACTTTAGCCAGGTATGGAGGTTGAGACAGGAGAATTATGAGTTCAAGGTCAGCCTGGACTATATAGTAAGTTCAGGGCCAGTCTGAGCCACATAGCAAAAACCCAAGGGCTAGGGCTATAAACCAGTGATAGAGCACTTGCTTACCAGGTGGAAGGCCCTAAGAGTGATTTCCCCAGCCAAAGACAGAGAGAAAGAAAGATAGATTCTGAGTCCATTAAACCCAGTGGTCTACATGATGATTTTAAAACCCAAATGTATTTTTAATGTAACTATTTTCACATGCAGACAAATAGAATAAAGTACTATAGAGAACCACCAGCTTTGTTTAAGCTTTTGAATCTTCCATATTTTTCCAGACTATTTTAGGAAATATTTTAATAGATGCATAAATTGAAATCCCATGTATGACTAATCCACAAGGCCATTCATCTTCTCTGCCCCTAGAATTAGCCACTGTCCTTGAATTTGATTTTACCATTCTTTGGCATGTTTTAACTTCACCTCATGTGTATGTGTCCTTAACAACATGCGATATCATCACTGTGCATACTTTTTAAATTCTCCATTATAAATTCTGCAGACTGCCTTTTTTATTTAATCATATGCTGTTGGAACTTATTCAGGCTGGTGTATGTAACTGAATGAGTCAGTTAGGGTTTGGTTAGGAACACAGAAAGACTCCAGATACACTTCACGCAAAAAAGGGATTCAATGTACAAGCGTCCCTCACCACTGGAAGGCATGGGGGAGCAAAGATGCAGAATGCTGCTGGTGACAATTTTGATTTCCTGTGATTCTCAAGCACTTACTCAGAGGCCTCTGGAAATCTAAGAACCTAGCTGCAGCTTGCAACAACCTCAAGCCCCTGCTATACTGAAGCAGGCAGGCTTGAGCTTGCTCAAGAAGGCAAGAAAAGTCACATCTTCCATCTGCTGTTAGAGAATGAAAACTCTCTCTTCCACATTACAAATTCAAGCAAATATCCCTAACTGGAAAACTAAGCACCTAGGACCATATGGAAATGAGTTGCTAGAAACAGCCCTGTAATTCAAAGGTGACTACAGAGGGGAATGGAATGACTCTATCCGAACCCCATTGGGATTCATCCATCCTCACATGTAGATTGAACTGGTGCTACTCTACAGAGAGGTCACTTTATGTATTCACTATCTGCTGACGGACATTTAGATTGTTATTACTAACTATACTGCAGTGAATTTTATGTGTCTGGGAATAAAGATAAAGTCAATACTTCCTTTATACTCTTTATACCTTTTTATCTGCCTTCTTTTCTTACTATCTGTCTAAGAGTTCCAGAATGTGCTGAACAAGAATGACAGATATCCTTATGTGTCACATCAGAATAAATGGACTACTTTTACTCTTTTACTATTGATATAACACACATTGAAGGCTTTGAATGATACCCTTTATCAGATAAGGAAGAGTTCCATTTCTAACTACTATGAGTTGTTTTTTAATTTTTTTTGTTGTTTTGGGAAGTAATGGAGTTTGAGCTCAGGGCCTCACACTTGTTAGGCAAGCTTTCTACCACTTGAGCCACACCTCTAGCTCAAGAGTTATTTTTAAAAGGGAAGTTGTTGAATTTTGTCAAATGATTTAATTGCTTCTCTTTGTCAAGTGATACCGTCACATTTTTGCCTTTAATCTGTTAATCTGATATGCTAATTATAAATTTTCTGTTAATCTTCCTTTCATTCCTGGAATATACACAACTTAATTATCTATAGCCATTCAAGATATGTATTCCACTAAAGAATCACAGACTCTGCGATGTTCCCAATAAACCAAGCAGTGAAAGCTCCAATAACAAACTACTGAAAGGCAGGCCCAAGTTTATAAACCACTAGGGCGAAAAGCTTTGTCCCAACTATTCTTCTCAGAACCAAGCTGGATGTCTCCCCATAAACAGATTCTTTTCTGGTAGTTTTTTCTTGGATTGATCTCTTGTAGCTTCTAACTTTATGAGGAATCTCAGTGCCACCCATCTTTCATATCCCTGACCAGCACCTTTCTACCTATGCCCAGCCACCTACTGCAGCCCTCACCTGTGAACTTAGCATTCTGGTTTTCAGGGCCCCAGTTTTTGGTCCTGGTGCTTCCCTTACTTTCTTGAGAACTCTGCAATGTGCTTCAGAATATTTGTTTGATTCTGCCGAAATTTATAGGATCTTTATTTTAAGTCCTTTGGGTAGCTGTTTGGCCAGAAACAGAAGTCACTAAGCCTATCTTCTTAACATCAAAAAATTTTAAAGACCTCACACACATCCATATTTGATATATCATCTTTTCCCCCCACTTTTTCCTCAATGTTTCATCTTCATCACCACTATCACTACCATTATCATATTTATCATCATTACAGCTAACATTGAATTAAAACATGCTCCAGGTACTCAGATAAATGCTTTACACAGACTAGGATTTTAGTTGTCATGGCCCTATATGACAGATACTAAGGGTTATCATAATTTCATAATCCATTTGTTGAAGAAATAGATGCTTTGTGTTTGGTGAAACTAAAATAGTTTTATGTCCATGTAACCACAGTAGTACCTCACATATTTTTTAAGTAGATTGCATATATGCAAGATACATAATTTATCTTACCCTACAGACTCTGCCAGGTGAGCCTATGGATTTTGGATTCTGCTTACAATAATAAATTCTCAGTCTTCCTCTCCACAACCCTTCCCTCTCCTCCAGGTGTGTCTGAGAACACTAAATTGAGAGTTAGAGCTCTATGTAAAACATAAACCCTCAATAGCTACCATATACCAACCACATACTATTTTCTACAATGTTACAGCATTCCATTTAAATAGCTGATATTATAATTTTACAGATGAGGACACTTAAACAGATGGACTCATTTATTCAAGATCATGCAAAAAATCAAGATCAGTTAAGATTCACCTCTAGGTCTCCCAACACCAAGTGCTGGGCTGTTAGACACAACAGTGGACCACCTACTCTATCTACATCCACCCCAGTGCAGCAGAGCAGACTGTGAGCTGCACAACTATAGGGCCTGCCATTCACATGGTTGTCACCACAGACTTTATACTTACTGTGACAATTTCAACAATAAATCATCTGGAGGAGAAGACTTTTTTATTTAAGTAACAGCAGCAATAGCTCATAAATGGTCTTTAGTTTCTTTGTTGTGGGAAATCTGATACCTTTTAAGAAACTCATTATACTTAGTGGCTTTAATTGCCAGAAAATTTCCATCTGAAGCCAAAATCTAGCACTTTATTAACTTCCACTTGGATTCCTATTCCTACTCTATAACATCTCAGAGAATATGAGCTAGTCCACTAAACCAGTGATTCTCAAGCTCTAGTATCCTTAAGAATCTATTCGAGGAACTTTTTAAAACCTCATACCCAAAATTATGGTCAAATATGCCCAGAGTGAGAAACGGAAAGATGCACTGTTAGTGAGCCCTTGACAAAAACCATCGTCAGACAACTATTGTACCTCTCCTGCCTCTTACATGGGTCAGTATCTGCTCTCAATTTGAGATTTCTCAAATCTATCTTCAGAAGAGACAAAATCACATAAAGAACTCAAGTTTAGCCAGGAACCAGTGACTCACACCCTGTAATCCTAGCTACTAAGATCGGAGGATCTCTGTTTGAGGCTGGTCCAGGCAAACAGTTCACAAGAACCCAGCTCCAATATAAACAGGGCAAAATGCACTGGAAGTGTGGTTCAAGCAGTATTGTGCCTGCTTTGCAAGCTGGCAGCCCTGAGTCCCACCAAAAAAACAAAACAAAACAAAACTCAAGTTTAATATCTCCTGAAACTTATAATTAGAAGATGAACATTCATTTGAAAACACGAGCCCCTCCCCCAGTGCTTCCATACATTCATTCATAAGGATAATTGATTGGTACCCAGTTTCTCGGATTTTATCTATTCTACCAAGTATGACAGAAGTGTGGATGAAATAACTTTAAATTAGCACTTGTTCTTATATTTCAAAGGGCTGCCACAAATTAAGGTAATAAGGGTAGGTGGTACATGAAAGATCAGTTAAAGTTATTTATATCTGTGCATTAGAGAAATATCACTGTATAAATATCCTAAAGTTTTGTTGTTTGTTTGTTAATAATCAAGAGGCAACACAGCCCAGTGGTTAAAACCCTGGACCTTGAAGGCAGAACAACTAAGTTCAAATCCCTGATCTATCCATTCCTGCATAACACTGACCAAGGTGATCATTACGAACATGGACGCCATATTTACCCTAATCAATGTGAGTAGATCTTACAAACAATGCTGAGAGCAAAATGCAAGCGCCGATGAGCACACAAAGCAGGACACTATTTCACAAGTGTAAAATAGGCCAAACAGTACTCTGTATACTTCAGAATGCACACATATGTAATAAAAGTAGCAAAATCTGGAATTTATGTTCGACATTCTTTTGAAACAGTAGTTATTGCTAGGTGAGGGGAAGGCAATGCAATCAGGAGAGAAGTGGAGGAGGTCAAGCTCATCTGCAGAGCTGGCCTTCTGTATCCCTGGGCGTTATATCCATGAATTCAGAAAATTGTGGATCAAGACTTTTTTTTTTTTCCGGTACTGGGGCTTGAACTCAGGGCCTACATCTTGAACCATTCCATCAGCCCTTTTTTGTGAATGATTATTTCAAAATAGGGTCTCATGGAACTATTTGCCCAGACTGGCTTTGAACCACGATCCTCCTGATCTCTGTCTCCTGAGTAGCTAGGATTATAGACTTGAGCCACCGGCACCCAGTGGATCAAACATTTGGAAAAAAAATGTGTGCTGAACACGAACAAACATTTTTCTTACTATTATTTCCTAAATAATATAGTATCGCAGGGTGCTGGTGGTTCATGCCTGTAAACCTAGCTATGCAGGAGGCAGAGATCCAGAGGATCACGGTTCAAAGCCAGCCTGGGCAAAGAGTTCCATGAGACCCTATCTCAAAAAATCCTTCACAAAAAAGGCTGGTGGAGTGGCTCAAGGTTAGGCCCTGAGTTCAAGCCTCAGTACCGCAAATATAATAATATTAATAATAGTATAGCATAACAACTATTTACATACATTTACAGCACAGTAGGCATTATAAGTAATCTAGAGGTGATTTAAAGGATACAGGAGAATATGCATAGATTCTGTGCAAACACTGTACCACTTTATACAAGGGACTTGAGCATCTGAATATTTTATATCTGTGGGGTCCCAGGGCCTACACACCAAGATGCTAAGGATGACTATACTAGAAACATTTTGTTTCTTAAGCTAGCAGATGAAATGGATCTTGATTATAATATTCTTATCATTTTGTCATTTATTTCAAAGGAAATTTTCCAAAAATAGCATTATGAGGATTAACAGCGAAAGTGCTGAGAAAATGTTAAGTATCAGAATGGTACATGTTACAAACATGGGACACAGATACAGAAAATGATAATATTTACAGCAACATAGTAAGCTACAGACCTTTGGTTTTTATCTCCTCACATCCTCCAATGTAAATACTACTTTTGCAATATAAATTAGAGTTTATGAATTAAATCATGGTAAAATAGAATACGGCTCACTGCTTCCATTCTGGGAAGGTATATTCAATGGTAGCCCGTGAACTATTAGGACCCTAAGTAGCTATTCCACAGTGAGTAAGAGGGGTTTTCTCAAATAATGGAACATGGTATTGTACAGCTCCTTGAAAATTCATACTACCGTTTTATGGACAATAAATGCTTTCAGAAATCTCACAGTGAAAACCCTGTGTGTTTAATCCAGTCACTCAAGATGAGTTGACCATGGCATCTTTTTTCATGGAGACAGCACTAGCATCACATAGGGCAGAGCTTACAAATGCGGTTGTAGATTGGCACAACTCAAATGTCAGAGAAAAGCAGGACAAAGCACAGGAATGTGAGCTGGGGGGCATGGCTCAAGTGGTAGAGCACCTGCCTAGCAAGCATGAAGCCCTTAGACCAAGACCCGGTACCACAACAACAAGTGGAATAGCCACTCCCCCCCACCCCCCACCTTTCTCCTTTAAACTAATGCTCACTGTGTTCCCATGTGCCATGACTGTTCTAGGTACATGTTTAATCACCTAATGGGTTACTTTTGCATGGCCAAGATATCTGCGGGAACAACTTAAAGGACGAGAAGATCTGTTTTGCCTCACAGTTTCAGAGGGTTCAGTCCTCAGATGCTTGGCCCCCTGCACCTGGCAAACAGCATGCGGCAAAGAGTTCTTTACCTCAAGGCAGAAGGGAGCAGAGAGAGACAGAAAAGGGCTGGGACAACAAGGCAGTCCACCTCCTAAGTTCCAGAATCTCCCAAAATAGCACCACCAGCTGGGGACCAAGCCTTCAACGTTAGCCTGTGGGGGACATTTCACAATCACACTATAAAGATAAGAATTCATTCCATCTGTCAGAGGCATATGCTGAGTAAAACAAATTTGCTCTAGAAATCCATGAATCTAACACACTCAGGATATCAGTAATAACGTAACTGGAAATGCTTTGTGATGCTTCACCTAGCTTACTTTTAAAGCTGATTGGGCTTTTTCTAAAGTAAAGGCAAAAATGCCCTGTAGTCTTCATATATACAGAAACCATAAATGCTTAAACTTTAAATATTAACAATTATATCAATAAGGAATCATTATGTTTATAAATTTGATATTTGAAAATAAAAAATTCATATTTTCACTATGTTCTCTATAATATGTTGAAATACCTTTAATATTGGAAGAACTTCCAGGATCCCTTTTGGAGTCCAGGGAATTCCTCAATCCCTTTTTTTAAAGATGCAACTGGGAAAAAAAGAAAGAAAGAAATAGGAAAGAAGGAGGGAAAGGAGGAGGAAGAGAAAAAAAGGAAAAGAGAGAAGGAACCAGGGGAAGAAAAGGAGAAGAGAGAAAAAATGGAAATACAGAAGTAAATCATTACCATTTTAAAAATTACACAAAATTGGTTATCTTTAATTATTTTAGTATGTTAGAAATGATTCAACACTAGAATTTGACTAAATGCCAAATTGTTTCTTTTATGTAGCTAAAACTTTTCTTTATATAAAGCAAACTCAACAAGGTGACATCATGGTAGAGGTTGGTCTTCCCATATAAACTGTAAAGTCCATTATGAAACATTCAGAAAAGAACAACACAGAAGCCTTGTGAATTTAGACAAATATCAGAGAGGCCTAATTTGAATTAGAGGAATATAAATTATAAATATTTACATGGAAAGGTTGTTTCCTGTTTTAAAATGCATTCAATAATTCACACTAAACAATGAATTACTTAATAAATACCCTAAATAAATCTTTTGAAGTAGATTATGACAACTAATAGAGAAGAACGACTTGTACTTTATGTTTTATGTGCCAACAGGTGATGAGACTAACATTCTTAGAAAAGTTGAAGATTTCAAAAATCTTAATGAAAACATCAAATATATAAATGGAGCATGCGTCAATATTATTTTTTTAGACATGAAACATTTTAACAACAATCAGTAACTTAAATTGCATTTGTCCCAGCTATAACTAAACAGTATAAAACAACAGCCTTACAAAAGTAACCAGTAAATAAGACAGTAAAATTGAATAAGAAATAGACTTTTAAAAAAAAGCAATCATTAGGGTTTTTCCTCTAGTGATATAGAAAATCTTTGAAAAAAAAAAAAAAAACCCAGCAAGCTAAGAAGTCAGTGAGAAATAAATGCAGGGCAAGGGTCTTAGGAAGGAGCACTCCCTAGACCCGGGAAGGAAGCCCGGGGCTGTAGGAAGGCAAGAGAGCTACTTCTCCCAGTGGGGACTATGTCCCTTTTAAGGAGGGAGGATGAGAGGCTGAGTGGTGACGCCACAGCTGTGAGGGACAACAGGAGCAAGGGAAGAGAAGAGACAAGAATCCGAGAATCGACATGGAGACAATGTGGAAGGACATAGATCCACTTTAGTATGCATCGGAGCCCCTGCCTCTGTGTCAGGCAGTGTGGTGTGAGCCAAGGACACAGTGGCAACCAAAACAGAGAAACGCGCTCTCTTGAGAAATGGAGGAGGAGAAAATATAATGGGGAATAAATGGGAAGAGAGAGAGGGGAGAAAGGAGTCGGTGGTAACTGAGAAATGGAGAAGGGGAGAGAATGAGTGAGAAGGTGAAAGAGTCTTGTCTGCATCAAACCATAGAGCACATAACTCTCTTTTCTTAATGTTCACCTGGGTAACCCTGTACCATCTGTCTTTGATTGAGAATCATCAATGAAGCATAAATTTGATAGACCTAGTTTCCACTAACAGAAGTTATCCCCTGTTCTAATTTATGCTTACATATTTCTATTTGTGTGTGTCTATTAATAATCTCATGTTTTTCATCCAGTATCTTCTTACCTACTGATTTTCTAAATTTCTGTCTTGGGCTTCCCAAAGACTCTAATATTTCGTTTAATCGCAATGTGATCTCCGCCACCACCACAACATCAATACCTTCCATTTTATAGCAGTGAATCACCTCACTTAATTGCCACAGAAGATAAATCCACTAAGAAGAGAAAATACATAGCAAAATCAATTCCACTATGTTACACTGTACAAAGAGCCACACTTTTCAAAACTTCGTAGTTTCTTGAAATCAACATCTCTAATCATAAACATTGCATGAGCCTCCTTATTAATGCATCTCAATTATAAAGTGATCTTAAAAAGATAATATTTAATAATAAACCTGTTTATGTAAATTCATAAAGAAGATTCAATCACCTGTAGTCTAAACATCTATAGCTATGGTAGAAAATTTATGATCTGTCATTTTTATATATCACCAGATATTATCTGTATTCTCAAAGTTCTTATTCTTCCTTCAAGGCAGCTCCACGGTCACCATCCAGTTCTCCAAATTAGTAATGGGTGGGCAGGTGTTTCAGGCTCTAATCTTGGCGCTTAGAAACTAACTTCAATGCCTGTATCTCCAAAGGTTAGCACATAAACCAACCAGGGATGTAAGATGATAAAACAATACTCTCTCCTTCACAGCATCACTTAAAACAGTGTATATGATAAAACTTCAGATCTGTGCATCCTAACGTCACTAATCTGAGGAGGCTCAGAACCGCTGGAACTGAAATATTCGTTACTAAAATATTTTTTCATAAGTTTCTAGGCTATGATATTCAAATGTTTAACTTTCTACTTTCCATGAAATAAATAGCTCTTTTAAATCATCTAAATATATTACTGCAAGAAAAAAGCCTGGGCCTCCTTGTTTGTATTCTCTGTATCAATCTTCTTAATGCATTTATCCAAACTCATATAACCTTAGATACACTGTATTGACTCCTCCCTGAAACATTCTTCCACCCTAAAACCAAGTTGGAGCCAGGGTACAGGAACACACATTTTTAAAAAGGTTAACTCAGCACTACAAAGAGTATTTCCTTAAATATACATCTGCAAATCACAGGAATTATGCAGGTGGATAAGAGAGAAAACCCCAGTTGGAAATGTGTACTGCAACCTGAGTTAAGGAAGGAAGAAAGAGAGGGAGAGAGAGAGAGGGAAAAAGAGAAAAAAGAAGGGAGGGAGAAAGGGAGGAAGGGAAGGAATACTTTGTTGGTGCTGATTTTCTGCGTGAACTTGGCATAGTCACTTTTGGACACACTGATCCTCTGAATTCCAGATTTGCATTTTTGCCACAGGAACATTATCACATCCACAACAATCTCTTTATCAGGCTGCACACCCTGAAAACCAAAGTGGTGAAGCAAATGAATAAGAATAAGATAAACATGTATAACATTCACGAATGTCAGGCAACACTAAGAGCTGTGTGTGTCCATTCATCTAATCCTCACAGCGACCCAGCAAGGTGAGCAGCTCTACTGCACCCCACCACTTACAGACGAGCAAAACGAGGCACAAGGAGGTGAAGTGACTGTCCCAGAGCAGGGCTTTTGAACCTAGGCTGTTCAAGTCCTCGCTCTTAGCCAATGCTTTATGGATGCTACTTCTGCTTCTCCAAATGAAAGTCACAGACATCTGTAGGTGCATATGGAAGTGAGTCCCATCCAACTTTCAGATATATTTGTACTTTTTGCTTTTAAAAAATTTTTGCATTAAAATAATAAATAATTGGGGAGGAGGGAGATAAAACTGGTAAGGAGAGAGGAATGAGGAGCTGGGAAAGGATTCAGACAAGGACAGGGAGGAACTGGACAGAACTTTACTTTGGGTATCAACAGATGATCTAGAATAAGTATGTCTCTTCTCACATCAAAGTTACTTGGCTCTTTTAAAAAAAAAAAAAAAAGAAAGAAAGAAAACTAGGGCCAGACATGGTGACTCATGGTGGCCTTGTATCTCAGCTACTCAGGAAACACAGATTGCTAGGATCACAGTACAAGCCCAGCCCAGGTAAAAAGTTAGCAAGACCCCCACCTCAACCAATTAGCTGAGCATGATAGTACATATCTGTAATCCCATCTACACAGGAGGCATAGATAGAAGGATCACATCCAAGGCTGACCATAGGCAAAAATGCAGGCCCTACTTAAAAAATAACTCAAGTAAAAAGGGCTGGGGGTGTGGCTCAAGAAGGAGAGCACCTGCCTAGTAAGTATAAGGCCCTAAGTTCAAATCCCAGTACTGCCAAATTAAAAAAATGAACACTAAAGTTACTTATCATCTAAACTAGAAAGATAATGAATTACACGTTTAAAACATACCAAACTTTGAGCTGCTTTCAGACAGCTCTAACACTTAATTTGATATATTTCCCACCTCAGCACAAAGTTTGGGAACACAGCAGAATCAAACATGAGTAAATATTTACTGACTTGAGCTGAACTAAGACATATAATTTTTTAATTGACACATGAAAGTTCCTACCCTTTCAAGTATCAATAGTTATTTTTTGTTAAGCTTTTCTGCTATAATAATTACATTTGCCACCAAATACCTTTTTTGTAAGAATTAAATATCCATCACAGGTTGTAGCCTATTCTAATAAACCCAAAATAAACAGAAATTATTATAAGAACAGAGCTTCTCAAGTCCCTTACTATATTTCACTCCCCTGGGCAAATGTCAACACAATGCTCTACAATTGTGGAATTCAAGCCTTTTTTCTTTTTTTTTTTTTTTTTTTTGGTGGGGGTACTAGGATCTGAACTCAGGACCTCACACTCAGTAGGAGATGCTCTACCACTTGAATCATGCTCTCAGTCTTCAAGCTTCTTTTTTATAACAATAAAACCAAATCCCCAAATGAAATTCTATCAGAGCCCCAATATCATATATAAAACAAATAAAAGCAAATTAGTGTACCACCAAAGTTGGACTTCTGAGGAAACTCAGAGAAGTCCTGGGGACCTCTGGAAATCAGTTTTAAAACCAGTGCAGAGCACTTGCCTAGCATGCACTCACTTGAGTCCCTGAGTTCAGCCCCAGCACCACAAAAATAAAAACAAAAAAACAAAAAAATCCTGTGCTTTACGTAAGCACTCTTCTCTACACACAGCCATGTCTAAATACTGGCCAGTGTGGCAAAGTGGCTCCCAATATTAACCAGGCTTTGTGGTCAAGGCTGGAAAGGGAAATAGCAGAATCTCACTAGGCGTATTGACTCCACTGACAACCACAGCCTCAGTTCCTTCATCCTTAGAAATACAGAGAGCCCACATGCATACAAATGGAAAAATGAGGCCTGTTGAAACTATGCCAGGAGTGCGGGAGGGGAGATAAAGGAGAATTCAACTATGATATATTGTAAGAACTTTTGTAAATGCCACAGTGTATCCCCAGCACAACAATAAAAAAACAGATTGAATTAAATAAAAAGGAAGACAGCTAGCCCAGGACTTGCCCCAAAAGGGATACAAAACATCCAAAATGACAACAATAAGAAGAAAAGAAACTTAAAATTACAAGTCAAGGTACAAACTCCATGCTTTCTTCCATCTGGCCTTAAATTAGGCATAATAACTTCTTCCATACTATTAAAAGTTAATCAGAATAGCTGATTCACCTGGTGAGAGTCACAGACACAGTAATGCAAGATGGCTGCCAAATGAAAAATGTCTTCAGAGTATCCACAATTCCCCACACAAGTACCTGCACTCAAAACACAGAAGAAAATTAAACAAAAAAATCAACTAGGAAAGGTCAGACACAAGAGACGCAAAATTCTACAAACATGACATAAGCCATATCTAGGCAAATAAGTTAAGATAAAGTAGATGCTTCTGTATCAAAATTAGTCTAAGTATCTCTAATGCAATTAAAATAGATTGTTACTATTAATCTGTGTTAAGGATGCCAACTATATCCAAAGAGATAGTGAAGAGGCTTGCAGTATTTGAAAACATCTCAAATGTGGCAGTTGAAAGCAAAGTAATAAAAATATCTATTTGGAAGCCAAGGAAAACATGTATCATGACCTGGTACAAATTATTTAGAGCAACAGAGTAGCCTTGCAATGCCTTAAGAACATAGGAAAACATAAAACACAAGAGAATTAAACTGGGCGTAGATGGCTCAAGCATGTAATCCTAGCTACTAGGGAGGCTGAGATTGGGAGGATCACAGTTTTTAGGTCAAGCTGGGCAAACAGTTTGCGAGACCCCATCTCCACCAATAGCCGCATGCATTGGTACACACCTGAGATCTTAAGCTATGCAGGAGGCTGAGATCAGGAAGATCATGGGTCCACACCAACCTGAACAAAAAGGTTCATAAGATCCCCATCTCAACAGAAAAAGGTGAACATGGTGGAGAATACCTGTTATCTCAGTGATGGCAGGAAGTTTAAAATAGGATTGCAGTCCAGGTTGGCCTGGGCCAAAACACCCTATCTCCAAAATAACCAGGGCATGACTCAAGCAGTAGAGAACCTGGCTAGCAAGCGTGAAACCCTGAGTCAAATCCCAGTACCACAAAAAAAAAAAAAATTTCATTGGTCCAAAAAGTTGACTTAATTTTTTAAATTAAGTCCTAGAATGAAGAGCACTGCATGCTGAAAGACAAGGGCCTTCTATGCGTGGCCAAGGAACCACATCACCTTGGCACCAAGTTTCCTCCATCCTTGTCACCTACCACATTCTCAAACTCCACCAGTGCACACCAGCCACACCTTCATCACCAAGCACACTCTTGCCTCAGGCCTTTGCACCTCCTGTTCCTCCTGCCCTGAACATTCTTTCTTCTCTTCTCTTCTAGAAAGAGCATGTTTTATCAGGCAAAACTCAATGTTTCAAAAACGTAAATAAAATACTCACCACGATAAATAATTTTGCTCAGGTAGGACTGAAGTGATTCTCCTTCTTTATCGTTTTCCAAAGGAAAGATCAAACCTTTGTTTCTCTTTACATTGATTAGTGGTTCTATTGCAATCAGAAGAATTAAATCCTTCTCTGCTTTTTTTGACTCCGGATCATCCTGCCTCTTAAAGAAGTATATCCCGCAAGTTAATTAGCAACTCAGCGCCATTTTAATGAAACAAAAACAAACGAATGGTTTTAGCAGATGTTACCTGGAGAAAATGAACAAGCTGCCTAGCAGAAGATTCAAATAAAGACCATTCTTCATAAGTAAAAGCTAATTTTACAAATTTCAAAGCAGCATCCATAGAAATAAGATTTTTCCTTTGTATCATAAGCTCCCGAAGAGATGTTTTTGGGAACTCGAGTTTTCCATTTGCACCAGTGTTTGAAACTAAAAAAGGAAAGAAAGATTTGAATATCATCCATGCAGAGACGTATTCACTAAATATTAACTCTCAGACACTACCAGGCTCCAGGGAAACAATGGAAGAGAAGCAGACAGTCCCTGCCCTCACTGAGGTTACAGGTATTGGACCAAACCAGAAATCTAAGTGGGCAAATGCAAAATGGTGGGGACAAATAGGACAGGTGACCAACAGGGGTTTCAGGGAGAAAGACAGTTAACAAAGGCTACCTCAAAGAAGGAGCACAAAACCTCAAATATAGGGAATAACCAACAGTTAGCTAGCCAATGAGGCAGCCAGACACAGATTGGAGACTCGGGAAAGAGAAGTAAAATAGGGACTTAGATTCTAGAATCCTGACTATATATCTCCAAAGAAGTGGCAGCATCGGCTATGGAACTGTAAGAAACATCAGCATTTAAGAGAAGGGCAAAGGGAGGGAAGGTGGCAGAGGAGAGTGCTGAGTGACAAAGAAGCAGTCTACAGGAAAAAGAGGATGAGAAGTGATTGAGCAGTGAGGAGGCTGTCCCCTGCCTGATGAAGGAGGAGATTGAGAACACAGAAAATTGACAATTCTTTGACAAATCTTTTTGTACAGAGACACACAGGGAGGAAGATGAAGAGGAATGGGGTAAAGGAACCACTTGGAGGAATTTGGCTTAAAGACATAAAGAGGAAAGGAGGAACACCCCTTCCATTTTAATGAGATGGTGGAAAGGGTGGATGCAGATGAGAGTATGTTGTAGGGTTTGAATGAAGGAAGTTAAGGAAATTCTCACCTGAAAACTGATACTTTTCCTGAGAAGAGATGAGCCCAAACTGTGGCACAGAGGCTCATTGCCTTCAGGTGGACATGCATACACACACACATACACACACACACACACACACACAGAGAGAGAGAGAGAGAGAGAGAGAGAGAGAAACTCATCTAAAGCTACACAAACTAAGATCCAGCTTCTCACCTCTCCTCCCAGATGGACATTTCAGTCAAATAAGATGACTATTGCAAGCAACAAAAGGTAAACCCATGAGGAGAGAAAGTTAACAAAGACAACATAAATTGACATAAAGAAAACACAAATTGAGCATTCTTTACCACAGGAAGTGGAAAAATGAAACACAGTGAGCAAGAACTTCAGCATAAGTGCTCTCGGCAGCCTCCCTCATGAACAGAGCTGCAGAAATAATACACATCAGCAAACAAAGCAAGCAAATATATTAGAAACTAATCCTAACCTCCAAATAAGGTTTATTCCAAAACACAGAGTGGTTAAAAGTAGATAAACAAAGCTGAGTTCTGGTGGCTCATGCCTATAACTTCTATCTACTCAGGAGGCTGATAGGGAGCACCAAAGTTCCTGGTTGGCCTGGGCCTAAAGCGAGACCCCCATCCCCAAAATAACCAAAGCAAAAGTGACTGGAGCTGTGGCTCAAGTGGTAGAGCACCTGCCTAGCAAGTACAAAGTTCTGAATTCAAACCCCAGTACTTCCAAAAGGAAGAAAAAAATTAAGCAATCAATGTAATTCACCACACTAGTAGAAATAAAAAGAGAAAGCCATTTGATTTACTCAGTTAATCTCAATAAATCCAGAAAAGGCCTTTAATAAAAGTCAATAACTATTCAGGATTAAAAGCAGACCAAAAACAAAAACTCTTAACAAAGTAGGGACAGGAAACCTTCTTGATCTGAAAAGAGATATCTATAAAATTCCTCTAGCAAATACCTTAACTAATGGTACAATGTTAAAAGTTTTCCCTGAGATAAAAAAGAGACAAGGATGCCCGTCATCGCCATGTCCGTCCCATGTGTTTATTAAAGATCCCAGCCAGTGTGACAAGTCAAGAAATGAAAGAAAACGGAAATTTAAAAGTATAAGAATAGAAAAGAAGCCGAACGCAGGCAGCTCACGCCTGTAATCCTAGCTATTCAGGAGGCAGAGATCAGGAGGATTGCAGTTCAAAACCAGCCCAAGGCAACAGGTCTTGAGACCCTATCTTGAAAAACTCATTACAAAGAAGGGCTGGTAGAGTGGCTCAAGTGGTAAGTAGTGCCTGCTTAGCAAGTGTGAGGCCCTGAGTTCAAACCCCAGAACCACCAAAACAAGAATAGGAAGGGAGTATAATTGCCACCATTCATAGATGATTACCTACATAAAAAATCTATAAGTAAATTATTTGAATTACCAATTGAATTTAGCAAGATTGCTGAGCTCAAGGTCAATATATAAACTGGATATCAGTTTCTCATATATGGACTACCAAGATAAAATTTTCATTATGTGTGTCTATCATCAAGTAGCATCTGAACATTTTATTTACGGATTAGAAGTTCTTTTCCTGCCATGAACAGCTCTGAGACAACATCACGCAGCTCCACTTCATCGGTGACAACAGTTCCAGTTTGCAGCGTTCGCCTGTTTGAATCAGAAAGTGCTTCCAGGACAGCCAGAAACCGGGTCGCAGTGCTGTCAAACAGCTCTTCCAATAGCCGTTCTGTGACAGTGCGTGGCCACGACAGCTGGAAAATAAAGAATACAGTCCATGCCTCAAAGAAAAGTCAGGTGTGCTGAACCACGCTAACAGGAGAGTGATTAGCTTAACAACAAGGTGGCTGCTTTCGGATCTTCACTTCTGAGATGTCACTCCACCCCCGCCCCCACCCATTTAATTCACATTGTGTTAGAGGTTTTGCTGCTTCTTTGCACGTTTGTTTCCAAGGCAGTGTGAAAAGGTTATTGTCATGGTCTTTTTATTAAGGAAGCATCGTCTTCTTGTGCTTTGTGGTACTTTGATTACAGCGGTAAGGGCCTGATACTCAAATTTTGTGTCTATCTCTCAGAACACCAAATCTCCAGAGGTTCTGTGGATCTAAGTGGGAGATTGTTAACAAACACGGCAGGAAATGTGAACGTAGAATGTCCTCAAACTTGAAGCAAACCTTTATAGTCTAACTACCAAGGCTGTGGTAGTTAGCTCCACAGCTAATAAGTACACTAATAAGTGAGTTCCCAACCTCTTCTCCTCATGCAGACAGCTGGGCCCCACGCCTTATTCCCTCTGACAAATGCCCTGCTCTCTGCATTTAGGTTACCAATAAGAAAGACTGGTGGTGCTAGTTGGTGTTTCCAAACTTCATATCCAGCAAGAAGACACTACTCATATTTCCCAAGATTCTCTTGCTTCTTTTTTCTTCTTTGTGCAAAGTTAGAAAAACAAAAAAGGAAAAGCAGGGATAAAGCTACTTTGGGCTATCTTCCCCCCCAAACACCAGCTTCCCTCCTCATTAGCTTCTGTGCCTTTTCCATCCATAGGCCAACTGAGAGGTTAAAAAGCTCAATGAAGCTTGAACTCCATTCCTTTCACTCTCTTCCTTATAGAGGTAAGGGTTTCTTCCCAGCTTCGTATTATAGGTTAACAAAGAACTATAAAAATAATTATTTAAATAGTAAAATGAACTTTCTAATAATTAGAAGTATTCAAATGAAATGGTAGTTGTCTACCAATCAGTGAAAATAAAATATTTATAAAAATATCATAGAAAGGGCTGGTGGAGTGGCTCAAGTGGTAGAGCACCTGCCTAGCAAGCATGAGGTCCTGAATTCAAACCCCAGTGCTGCCAAAAAAAAAAAGAAAAATATTTTAGAAAAACTATATAATAAAATATTATAGAAAAATAGGAACAAAATATTTATTAGAGCCATAAGTGATTATTAAGTAAAATATTTTCAAATATAAATACTTAAAAGATCTATAAAGAAGAATTAAAGCTAAAAAAAGATGGACTGTCAAGTATGACAAAATATTAAATGTCTATAAAAATTATGAGTTCATTAAACATTTTAAAAATTAAAATGTCTAGTAGACAAATGGTCAAAAACTGAAAAATAATTCACAAAAAATGAAATATAAAGAACAAACCCAACTATAACAGAAAGGTATGCCCAAGAAATAGAGTGATAAGCCATTTTGTAAAACTGAATTTAGTAAAAAAATGCTTAAATAATATCAAAATAATATTTAAAAATGGATATAATAATAAAAATAATATCAAACTAATACAGCTTGTGGTAAAATTGGTACAGGCAGGTTAGTACCTTGAAAATAGTGCCTATGTTGGCCACAGGAGCATGTGGTGAAAGAGCTTCCTCCCCTCATGGTGAACAGGAAGCAGAGAGTGAGGAAGGCAGAGGAAACCAGGTATACCCTTTAAAGGCATACCCACCCATAGCCTACTTCCCCCAGGTAGGCCCACTGACTACGACCTCCCAAAATAATGCCACTAACTGGGTACCACATATTCAAGTGACCTTGCCGGGGGGCGGGGCGGGGGGGTCCACTTCAGAACATGTAGTTTCTGCATTAAAATACATCCTTCAACTGTCTTGCTCACACAGCAGATACTTTAAAAACATTTGAATGAATCACTGCATGGTTGATCATTAGGAATCTAAATTGGTATTCCTTTAAAAGAACCTTTTGAAAGCCAAGATGACCTCCTAGGAGATTTAATACATATTAAAGCTACTTTACTTTGTAGAAACATAATAAAATTATTTCATGCATAGAAGGTAGGGCACTTTGCAAAATATATAAAGGTTAAAGAAATACAACATTATGAAAAGGGCATGTTGACTAATCTCTACAAAAACTACCCACTAATTTTAAAAAAATACACCACCAGAACATTTCATACAACAATTATCTTAAAGCAAACCAGAAATAAACTCAGTTTAACATAATTTTGTCTGGAATTTTAAATAATTTTCTTTTTGTTTCTTTTTCTTATTTGTAAGTCAGTACTTTTTTTTTTATTGTTGTTGTACTGATGGTACATTGTGACATTTACAAAAGCTCTTACAATATATCATAGTTAAATTCACCCCTCCATCATTCTCCTTTGTCCCCTGCCCCCATTCCTGGAATAGTTTCAACAGGTCTCATTTTTCCATTTTCATATATGAGTACAAAATCATTCCACCATATTCACCCTCCCACGCACTTTCCTTATATACTCCCCCCTCCCATTGATGCAAACCCCAAGAGGACCTATTTTATCTATTGTTCTCTCTTTTTAGAGGGAAAAACAAACATTTTTGTTTAAGATATCTGTACAGAGAGTTTCATTATGACATTTCCATCTATATATGTATTGTATCCCGAATTGACTCAGCTGCTCTATTTTTCTCCTTTCTACCTTAGTCCCCTTCTTATGCTGACTTCATAAATATAAATAAATTTTATATTTATTCCTGTATAGAAAGTACATCGACCATATTCACATCCTTAACTTCTTTCTTTTATCCTCCCGCTCTCGCTAGTGACCTTAACGTGACCTGTTTTCATAATATTGCTTATGTTTGTATTAGACCTGTATTTCACACATGAGAGAAAGCATTAAAATATATTTAACTTTGCTACCACAGTGACCATAAGTCCTAATCATATGCTAAGCAATGGCAGCTTCAGATATTTAAACTTGGTTTTCACAGAGAAAAAAAAATGTTGATAAGCAGGAAAAAAAATCCCCTACCCTCCTATAAAGAGTAAAGCATTACTGCTTGAGCAATATCAGATTCAGGTGGTTCAACAACACATCCACGGAATTGCCTAGAATTTAATAAGCCATCGCCCCCATAATTATATACCATTCATCAATACGGGACGTGATCTAAAAGGGAAATAAAGATATGCTTCTGGGCTCAGAAGTCAATATGGTCATGCTGAATAGCAATGTAATGACACCATGTCCACAATAATACTTGTATTTAAATATCATGATTTATTTAAAAGAAAATACAGAGGATCATTCCTAAATGTTGTAAGATCTGAGGAGAGAGTCCTTGGAGTAGTGAGAAAGCACTGGACTTAGAGGTGCAGCAGCTGACTTGTGACTGGAGTGAGTTATTTAAACACTCCCAAATGCATTTTCCCTCAAAAAGCACTGAACTAAATGAGTCCCAATTCCTTCCGGGTTCTGAGACTGCAACTCTCGGTCAGAAAGTGCTCATCTTCTTCCCCCTCGCTTTCATTTCCGTCCCTACACAGATGCTCACAGAAGAGAGCTGATGCTGTCTAGAACAGTCAGGGGCAGCTTCAGAGAGATACAGAACTGGTCCTTCAGGGACACTGAGCTCAGAAAGGCAAAAGGGAGGAGTGGGAGAAGAAAAGGGAAGAAGGACAAGAGAGTAGGACCGCACAAGCAGGCCTGTCTCACTCCCTTCCCCAGGCAGTCCTTAGTGCTGCTTGCCAAATAGGCCTGGGGCTGGAAGGGGCCGAGTGTGTAGTTATGGTGAGTGAGAGGGGTGTCCTGCCACTTCCATGCTGATCATCATGACCTCTGTGAGGTCCTCCCGAGCTCTCTCATCCCCTCTAGCCCCATTTCTAAGTGAGGGCTGCTCCCTAGCCTGGCTCTGAGCAGCAGTCTTAAGCAGACTCCTGGTAACTCTACTAGCATCTTATTCCAATGGGCATTAAATTAAGCCAGCTGAGGTGTGAGGGTTTGTTTGTTGCTACAGTGTAACCTAGTTCCTGGACCGTCCTGAAGGGCAACCAAACACTTATGAGAAGAGGTGCCAACCCCTTCTCTCCAACCTCAAAGCTAATCAAGGCAGTCAAAGGCAAGGGCTTGTGTAGACCTATTCAGAGGCCTGTTCACTTGCAAGGAAGAGCCTGTTGATTCAAACCGTTCCCATCCTTTTCAGCCTCTCATCCCTTAATGTTGCAAAACGGTGATTGTGCTAAATTTAGCACACAACGCATGAGAAAGGGGTAGAATGAGACCACATCTAAACTGGGAAAACATTCTTCTCCCTATCTGCCATTGGTGCAGAAAATTGGAAGCAAGATTTAACACTAGTGACTGGGCTTAAAGAACACCAAAAAATAGCACACATATACTGCAAAAAGACGACTTTTTAAACTTACACTTTGTGCTTCCTTTAGGTTAACTCTTATCTTTGGTCTAAACAAAGCTTTGTTTTTTCTTCTAGATTCAAATACTCCTCGTTTGAAGATCATCACTGCCATCTGCCTCAAAAAGAAGAACCACATATGAAGTCCTGATAGAATGCACTTCTTAGCTACTATATTAAGCACTTAATCAACCACGATGTACAGTAAGTTTCTTTTATCTCATTAAATATTTATACCTTTATTGTGGCCTCTCTGTAATATCCTCTGGATTCTTCCTCCTGTGATTTTGAGGTACTCATTAATTCCAGTTGTCTTAACTCATCAATTTTAGCTAAAGCCCGCCGAGCAAATGCCTGTGTGAGATTAAAATAAATTTAATTCATACAAAGTTGGGATATAGCTATTAAAAATGTATAAAAACAGTAAGTTTTGTTGTCCTAAACATTTGATTTAATCTGTAAGCTGATGAATTAAACTGTAGGCTGATGTTGACTCCTTATGACATGGTAGCCATCCAATCTATTCTATCATTTAAGATAGAATATATGCACCCCTAACCTCTGTAGATCTACAGTTAATAAACTGTCAGACACACTAGCTTCATGAATGCTTAGACACATACACACACATCCTCAGGTGGTCTTCTCAAAGCCTAACCTTCCTAGCATACCATGCCTATAATCTACCCACCTATTCACACACAGACCACTACACTGTGAGGTCCTTAACAGCCTTTATTCAGTTTTGAATTCCCAATACCAACATGCAGAAAGCATTTATAAATATCTGAGGGAAGGGAGGGAAGAAGGAAGGCTTGCTTATTTGATCATTTTACCATGGTTACAATTCTCTACAGATATTAACAAAAGTTCCAGAGAGCTATTAAGAGTTCAAGAACAAGAGTTCATTGTCATTTATTTTACCATTTCTTTGAAATATTTTATTCATAATTTATAATTTTAATACATATGCTTCCATCCCAACAATAATATTAATATGTAAAAACAGTTATATTTTCCATTAAGGAAGAATCCCAATAGGAGTTGAATGGTTAAAACTATATAACCATTCCCTTATAATTTCAACAGCTACAGTAAAATGTGCCACCTCTAATATACAACAGCTTCACTATACATATATGTTAAATTGTTTCTAGGTTATATCCAGGCTATCAAAGTATCCCAAAGTATAGGTGAATTCAGCTATCCCTCTGCCTGTGGGCATCCAACCCTTCAGAAGTAGTCCAGGCAGGAATAACTAAATGTAAGGAACCATTAATGGGCCAAATGATTTATTTATGGTTATGAACAGGATATGAGTGGGACTTTGTACAGCTGTGCAGCCTGTGTCAACTCCCAGCCAAGTGGCTGAATAAGGGCTGAACTCAACCTGCCCTTCCCTTCCTAAGCTGTGCATGTACCCTTGGACAGACATGTGTTGACCCAAAGGAAGTAGTGACTATTTCCAGTTTTCAGCAGGGCCCCATCCACTGACCAAGCCAGTACCGTGTCCTGTAGAGAAGGTGCCCCTTTCAGTTTACACAGAGAGTCCATAACAGCCAATAGAAGCCCCTGCCAACTTAAGTTATATTTCAGCTATTTAGTCTAAAAGGTGTACAGGAAAAGAGGAATAAAAAAGAAATCGAATGTGACCACTGGTGGCTGGAAGCAGAGAAAAAGCAAGATAAAGTATAGCAGTAAGTGGCAGGGACACAGCACTAAACAGGGAAGGAAGGTGGCTTACATGTGAGAACAAATCAAGGAAAGATATGTTCAGAAAAGGAGCAAAGAAGGTAGGAGTTTGTAGAGAAGAGAGGAGAGAACAGAAAGTAGAGCAAGAAATCCAACAGAATGGAAAAGCCAAGCAAATTTCTTCAAATAAAGCCTATAACTTTTGTCTTTGCTTCCTTTCAATTTTTTGGTTGGTTTTGGTTTGGGTTTTGTTTCTTTGAGGTATCTAAAGAAGCAGATGCTGAGTAGGCTCTATTTCAAAGGTTGGATCCACCCAAATTAAAAAGCCACACACCTCTCCATGAATACCAGCTTGGCAGTCATAGTAGCACTGGCAAACAGCTGTGTACAAGGTAGCTCTCCACGTCAGGTACCTGATGGACAGGAGCGGAACAGAGGATTCCATGCATATGCTGGCCCACAGCAGGTATTCTAAGGCCTGAGAAACAAATGGCATAATTGAATTTATTCCCTTTTTCTTTGTTTCTTATTTATTTAGTTAGTTAGTTAGTTAGTGTGTGTGTGTGTGTGTGTGTGTGTGTGTGGTAGTAGCAGGGTTTGAACTCAAGGCCTCACACTTAATAGGCTCTCTACCACTTGAGCCAAGAGCCATGCCCCCAACCCTTTTTTCTTTAGTAATTTTTCAGATAGGGTGTCATATTTTTGCCCAGACCTGCCTGGATCATGAGCCTCCCAATCTCCACCTCCCAAATAGCTGGGATTGCAGGCATGTACCACCACACCTGGCAATTCTGGTTTCTTAGACTAACAATGATGATTTCATTTAATAGACAGCTCTAAAGTCAACAGAACCAGTCACAAGAGACCTGACAAGTACCCTAGATTCTCAAATAATGATAGTAAATTTAAGAATAAACCTTCTCATCCAATAACAAATTAGACCTGCAACAATTGAGGAAATAAGTTTTTAAATATAACTATATTGGGTCAATAACCTACCTTGAAAAGGCAAATCACCAAAAGGGTCCAATAGCTTCATATATGCAAAGCAAACCCACTAGACTGGCATGGGGTTTAATAGCAAAAACAAGGAAAATACTGGTAACATTCAGACCCCATTGCCATCTGTGGAACCCATAGATGTGTACCTAACACATACGCAAGCAGCTACCAGTGAAAACCTAAAACAAAAAAGAAGCCAGAAAAGGCAGCATTCACCAGGGTCTGGTCAGTTTTAATCCCAGAGAGAAAGAAACTGCTGGAAGAAGGTCAAGATTTAACAAAAAATTGTAACACTCTTTGCCCTGGAATGTAAGCTCCTCCCATCAGAGTGTAGATTCACTTAGGAAAGGGACTTCCGCTGTTCACCAGTCTCTTCAGCACCTAGAACTTCACCTGGCAAGCAGTAAACATGCCATAAATATTTGCTGACCAACCAACTGGGTGGACTTAATTAGAAAGTTTCTGTTTACAGTCCTAAATATAGAAATATTCCAAGCAATCATAAAGAATCAAAGAACTGAAGGTCACTCCAACTTTCTCCCTCACCAACATGGCCAGCACCACCACTGGAAGCCCCACAACTTCCCTCCCCAAGAGTTCCTACCTCCAGTAAAAAGGATCACACCATGTCACAACAGAAGCCATTCTTCAACAGGAAAAATACTTTCATCATTTAAAACAAAATGCACCTTGGACAGGAGGTGTGGCTCAGGCCATACAGTGCCTGCTAACCCCAGTCCTACCAATATAAAATAAAATAAAAATAAAATCCACCTTGGGAATCTGATACATTGGTCCTAGTCAGGCCTTCTGGGACCAAACTGAACACTCCAGAACTCACTTCCAAATCACAGCCTTCCAAGAATCTGAAAACACTTGTGTAGCCTGCCCTCTCCTCCAGACCTCTCTCCAGGACAAATTGCCCAAATACTTCCAGAACTCACAGGACTGCACTTCCCTTGTCATGGTTGGGCATCTGAGCTTCACTCTAAGTTGTCAACATCCTTTTCAAGTGTGACTAGACCAGAGTGAAAACTCTCAGTGCCTGCTTCTTCTGGCCACTACATCATGCTGTTAGACAACACTGCCTTCTTGTTGTTTTTGCTATTGCAGCTGTGCTGTTTGCTGACCTTGTCACACTGTGAAGTGACATGAAATTAAGTCATCAAAACTTCTTGGCCAGGTGCTGGTGGCTCACCCCTATAATCCTAGCTACTCAGGAGGCAGAGATCAGGAGGATCACAGTTCAAAGCCAGCCCAAGCAAACAGTTCGAGAGACCCTATCTCAAGGAAACCAGTCACAAAAATAGGGCTGGTGGAGAAGCTCAAGATGAAGGCCCTGAGTTCAAACACCAGTACCAAAAAAAAAAACTCTTGAGTTTTTCTCATATTCACTGCTCCCTAACAACCCCTACTTTGGATTTCTGCACTTGGATCAGTGTGGTTTGGGGGCTATGAGATTAAATCATGTGTAAATCCCCCCTTTAAATTCACATCTTTCCAGAATCCCTCAGGACCCCTGGCATCAAAATAAAATGGTTTCAGTTACCAGTTGTTCACATTATATTTGGGTTTGACTTTAGAATTAGAATTAAAGAAAATCACAGATTTTCATGCCAGCAGGGACCTTAAATTTAACTTAATCTGACTCCAAGCAACTAAACCTGCTTCTAAGCAGCAGCAATGGGGCTGGAATTCACATCTTTGATCTCTCAAGTGCAGAATTCTTTCCACTCACAGAGCAGCCTTGACAACACAGACAAGCTTGCCAAAATCCACTTAGGGTCCTGAAAAACCCTCTTTCAAGTTAATTAAACATGAAAAGTCACTTCTAAAATGACTCCATTTACAGCAGGTTTTTTTAGCCCTAAAAGCTAAAAATGATTACTTCTATTATTAAAGCATCTCTTCATAGAAAAATAAGACTTTGAGAGCTTCTCCTGGTGGCAGATGACTATAATCCCAACTACTCAGGGATGGAGTAGCTCTTCTACTCAGGAAGATCGGTTTGAGGCCAATAGAGGCAAAAAGTTAGTGAGATCTTATCTCAAAAAACAAGCTGGGTGTGGTGCACACGTCTGTAATCCCAATTATGCAGGAAGAAGAGCTAGGAAGATCATGGTTGGAGGACGGCCCAGGCAAAAGCACCAAGACCCTATCTAAAAATACAAACTGCAAAGCAAAATGGTCTTGGGGTGTGGTTGAAGTGGTAGAGTGCTTCCCCAGCAAGGGCAAGGCCCCAAGTTCAAACTTGTCTGCTGAGAGAGAGAGAGAGCGAGAGAGAGAAGGATGAAGCGGCGGGGCTCGGGAGGAGGGAGAGAGCTTTGAAAAAACAAGCTATGTCCATACCTGGGCATGTTTCAGATGTCAGGAGAAAGACAAACGCAATGAATTAGTTCGCCACAGGGTGGCGCTACAGCTTCATTTGTACCGTTTGAGGAACCTAAAGCCATCTCAAAGTTGACTTAAAGCTTCAGCAAGGACGTGTGGGAGACTGACAGTACTTCTTCAAGCCAAATACTCTACCAAAATGTTTGTTAAATAAAACACAAACTGATAGTTTTTTTTTAGAATGAAGACATTCCTACTTATTCTTTAATGTTTGTTAAGTTTATACTAGTCTTAATTGGTACAGAAGAAACTAGGTCATTTCATAAACAAAAGCAAGTTATCATATGTATTTAGGAAAAAAGATTTCCAAAATCTGCCCTCCCTGTTTTCCTTACTCTTATACTGATGTCCTGCCTTAGCACTAAATGAAGTGAGTCCCATCTGAGGAAAAACCCCTGGTCACTCTGGGTCTTCAGGATCTCTTTGGGAATACAGGATTGTGTATTTAAAAAGAAAAAGGAAAAAAAAATCAACCCTTTCCACACAGCTCCCCATTTGAGTAGGTAAACCAAAAAGAATGGGGGCGGGGGGTGACATGATTCAGCTTAGTAAATAGATATACACTGCTCCAATGTGTGAATCTGGCTCTGGCCTTAACGCACCTCAAACTAGACCTGCAAATTAAGTTTCTCAGCCTCAACATTCCCATCTACAAGACAGAGGTGATAAGAGTGCCTTTCTCTAGGTGTTCTGTGAGGATTAAATGAGATCACTCATGAAAGTGCTTAGCAGCACACCTGGCAGATGGTTCAGCAAATGTTAATGGCTACGACTGCAATGATGATAATGGTGGCCGCCTCATAAGATGTGGTGTCCCTAGGTCTGCATGCAGAGCACTTCATGCAGTACTTTGCACACAGCAGGGATTCTAACAATAACAAAGGGCATCCGCAATGCCTAGATCTTACATGAATGGGAGTTTAAACTGCTCTAGAGTGATACTAAGAACAGGTCTACTTCTCCTCTGTCTTAATGTTTTAATAGGCTTCAACTCCAAAGTCACCACAGAATCAGGGTCCCTAAGGGCTTGTCTCCATTCCAGGCACCCACCTAGTCCATTAATAGCCTCAGCTCAGGAATTAATTTACTAACTGGGGGTGTGGGAATTTCTAGGTAAAAATTATCCATTCTCTCGAAGCTCATTACATTGGACAAACGGAAGAATCTCATCCTAATCTTCCAGTGTCAAGTACAAGACCACTTACCACCCCAAAATTCCTGCATATCTCAATCCCTCACTGCCCTCTCCCCTAGACTGGAACCATATGACTGTCCTCCTTCACTTTTTATTTTGTCAGAGACAAACTCGAGTTACATAGAGGGAGAGGCAATATCTTTCATAAGTTATAAATAAGAAAGTATTTTAAGATGACTATCACATTAAATTAAAATTCTCTCACCATTAACAAGCACAAATACTAACAGCCAAATGTTGGCACAGACGTCTCTGCCCTTCAAAGCTTTGGCAAACACTGCAGCAGAGCAAACTATGCTGGTTCTGAGAAGCAGTATTTGTTGTTACAGCAAATGCAACAGAAGTATGTAAATTCTTTTTAGGAAATCAGCATGAACTAAATGTAGAATCATTAGGCTAGTCTGTAGGCCAAATTTATATCATATATGGGACAGTCTTCCTTTGATTTAATTCCCACTCAAAATGCTGACCCAGAGTTTGTTCAAGTCACTGTTAGTAATTGTTTTTTTGGAGTTTGTTTATTTTTTTAACAAAACAGATACAGAACACACAGTTAATGTTATCCATTGAGCATGCAAATATCTTTGCTTCCATATTTTTTCTTAAGTGTAGTTCACTTTTAAGTTACTTGTTTATGTCTTGAGGAAATAAGAAAGAAAGCACCCCTCCTGAGTGCAAGCTTTCATATGCAATAAAAAGAGGAATAAAGTGGTAATTTTTCAGGTGCCAGCAACAACTCCAGCCAGGTCTCCGTGGGAGTATATTTGCCCTTCTTGCCCTAAATTCCAACGACTGGAAAATGAATCAGAAAACAAATATGTTTTCTGCCGACAAAAGTGCTACCAACATTGTGGAGAAGTCAATAGAGGTGTGAGCAACTTCCCCAAGCTAAAACTAAGCAGTGAACACTGGTAAGTGATGACCTTATTATAAAACAAAGTCTCTTTGCCCTCAGCTTGTGAATGGATTTGAAAGCCTGAGTGTTCATTCACACAGCTAGCATGCGGTCCATAAGTAATGTCCAAGAACTTCATAATATAAACAGGGCAACCATAGTTTATCATTAAAACCAAGACACTTTTAAGAGCAAGGAAGGATACTATTAACAGCTATTCCAGGGCCTGGGCATGGTGGTACATGCCTGTAATCCCAGCTACCCGGGAGGTACAGACAGGAGGATTGTGATTTAAAACCAGCTTGGGCAAAAAACACAAGACCCTATTTGAAAAACAAACTAAAACCAAAAGGACCGGGTGTGGCTCGAGTGGTGGCTGCTGGCCCAGCAAAGGCACTAAGTTCAATCCCCAGGACTGCCAAAAACTGTAATAATAATTACATCATGACAACAAGCATAAACAGGACTACCCTGGGCAAGCCAGGATGAATAGTACCCTTACCTAGAAACAGAGTAACCAGATGAATGTTCACTATCAATGTGACAAGTAAGACTGTCTGACAGAGAGAACTCTAGAGAATTCCTATCCATTTTAGGAATTCCCTTTCTTTTTCATTAATACTTTAGTGTCCATATTTTTACATATAATTACTACAAAAGTAAAACTAATACCAATAAAACTGTTCAACAGATGTTCACTAAATTTTGTTAAATAATTCACTAAATATTCTTTAACACTCAATGGATGGTATAATGAAAGCCTTACGAAACCCCCATAAATATGGGGGAAATACTTTGTCAGTACATTTCATACCTTAGAAGATTTACCTATGACCATCAGTTTTCGGCAAATGGTGTAAATGAAAATGGTACCTAGGTGGAGAACAAGATGGTTAGCATGCTTTATGGTCAAATGGGGGAAAACTGCATATTCTAATTTCTGTGGTTTACATCTGTAGTTTCCAAAACAAGTGATCTTATAAGAAAGTCTGATAATAGTAGAGAGTTATTATACTTTTTATTGTCACTTGTAAGACAAAAATCATTAAAATAACTATTATGGCCATATTTTAAGTAAATTGATACAGGAATCTTTTAGTCTCATTTTAAAGGCAATTGAAGTTTTAAAATATACTGGACAAAAGAATATTCTAGCATATTTAGTATATTATGTATCTTGTAATTTTCTTAATTCAAATAAAATGTTCTTATTTCTTATGGATTTCCTTGTGGTTAGAAGACTAAAGACTTAGCTCCAAATAAGATATGAATACATATTTAATCAGCATGGCACAACACTCAACAAGGAAATTCATAATAATTTAAAAATCATAGCATGTAACAGTTGCATTATAATCCTTTACAGTCATATGTAAATCTGTCACATTATTAAAACGTCCTGCAAACAGGCTAAAGAAAAAGAACATTAATTGAGGAAAGAAAGCTGGAGGCAGGTTGGAGGGAGAAGTAGAGGACATCACCATACCTCTGGCTGTAAATAAAAGATATCAACAGGCTATAAACATGCCCACAAGAAAGCAACAGGCTTTTAAAAGGCATGTAATTATAAAGACAAATAACCTAAATATTTTCTACAAAGTATCGAATCTAAAAGTCATAGTCATCAAAATTCATCAATTATAAATCCTATGTTCATGTTTAAACTTCAAAGCTTCTGAGAAATAGCATCTGCTCCAAAGCATAAGCCCTGATTAAAATACACCTGTAAGCATATAATTACACAAATTGGTGGCAACAATGTTGAATAAAATCTCAAATACTTATAGCACCTTAAATTTCCCAGAGAATGCAATTGGTCCTTGACCTTCAAGGACCCTGCATTCTGAGTGCAGCCATGCCTGTTATTTCCGTCATTTAAGATTTCACTGGGAAGCAGCTACTCGGCTAGTAATGGCTCAAGCCCAGCACATTGATCTCAGTTTGACTTTGTGGACTTCTACTTTCAAATTTTAAAAATGAAATTGTGTAACTATGCTCCTTTGTAGGAAAAAAAAAAAAAGTCACCAAGTAAGGATCTGCACAGGAAAAACATTCCTACCCACAAACCATGTGATTCAGGTGTAAGCCAGGAGCCAGAATAAATATGTCAGTAACGGGAAACTGGGGAATTTAAGTTCCCAGGAGACTGTCCCCAAGAATGACAAGGGCCCTCTATATTTTAAAAATGCACCTCTAAACCTTTCCAGCCCTAATGCATCCTGACTAGAACTGAATCCTTTGAGAGTTCAGGACTCAGTGTGGCTCACAGATTCCCACTGCAAAGCCGGGACAGAGTGAAATGGTACAGGATGGACACAGGATGAATTTTTATGTCCTCCAGGTATCTCCAGAAGTTAGTTTCTCTAATATGAGTTTACTGCTGGATCCTGTGACTCCTTTTCATCAAAGCTGGCCATCATCAAAGTAACCTGATTAGTTAGGTTTAGATTAGTTAAGAGGTAAGATGTTATTCAATATTCATATACCGACTTGGATTTCAGCAATCAAGATTGGTTAAAAATCTTAAGAAACCAAGCGTATGTGTGTATAATAGCCAATTAAAAACAAATAGAAGCTGGGTGTGGTGGTACAGGCCTATAATCCCAGCACTCAAAAGGCTGAGTCCAGGCTAGGCTACATAGTGAGACCCTGCCCCCAAAAGAAAAAACAAAACACATACACACACAGTAAATAGAGTAAGTTGTCTGAGTGAAAAAGTCAAGTGTATTTTAGTAAGTTATCAAATATAGAAATATATTTTTGGCAATTCCAAATTGTCAAAACTTCAGGATTTGTGCACTTGCTAATCCCCTAGTTGGAAAAGTTTCCCCTTTGGGGGAATTCAACTCCACCAAATTCCCTCAGGTCTTCGCTCAACTGTCATCTCAGTAAGGTGCCCGGCACCTGCCCTCTCATCCCCTCCTGCTTTGTGTTTCTCCAGCCCACTTTATCACCAACTGACACTGTTAGATTCGATTGATCATCTCCCTGCAGTAGAAGTAAGCATGAGAACGCAGTTTCTGTCCCTTGTACTCTCTTGTGTCCCTGGCACCTAGGACAACGTCTGGCTCACAGGAGACATTCCTTAAATTTCAAATGAATACATTAAAATAAGGACAGTAGTGGGTGAAGCAAAGTATAGCATGCGTATCTCCCACAACCCAGCAATCCCACTCCCGGGCATAGATCCCAGAATACTCTCACACCGTACTTTAAAAGGACATGTACAATTAGAAAGGTAGTGCAAACCAGGCGCCCATCCTTAGGGGTGATGGATATCTGGAATAAAATCAGCATGCAGAGTTAACAAATTAGATTTACACTCAGGAATCTGGCTAGGTTCTCAAACCATAATATTAACTGGGAAAATTTAGGAAACAGAATAAAATCTAGAGCACAAGACCATGTATATAAATAAGAAGGATAAAGGAAAAAGGTATAAAAGATACAGAATTCATGTAATCATTTCTTTTTTTTAAAGAACATTAGAGGGATGTGTGTGTGTGTGTGTTCCTTTCTTGCTTTTTTTTTTTTTTCTTTTCTTTCTTTTCTTTGGCCTCCAACTTGTATCACAGGCTGGCCTTGTCCTCTCCATTCTCCTGTGTCAGCTCCCCTGTGCTGGGATTATAGGTTTATACTATCAAGCCTGGCATGTGTCTGATTTTAAAAGGACTAAAGGCAGTGAATCATGCTGCACCATTTCCATCTTTCAAAACAGGTTCAACCACAGGGCCCAGCCATTGAGTCCCTCACTGCCTCTTGAGCACAGTCACTGCTCCTGCTCCATCTACCCCTGCCAAAATGTGGGAACAATTTAGGTTCAAAGATAGCAGCAGGAATTAAGGGAATTGAGGGTTCTCTTGAGGATGATCAGGCACAAAAGTTTAATAGTCACCAGTCCAAAAAAATCTCATCAAAACCATCCTAATTTCTGGCAGGAAAGGTTAAATCTAATTTCAATCTAAATGTCAAAACATGACTTGGAGTGGGTGAGGAAGGAAAAGGCTAGAAAATAAACTTTCAGTTGCCATGGGATGAGGGAAAATTCAGGATATTTTCTTTGGAGTTATTTTGCCCTGGTCTTATGTACATCAAATACACTGTCACTGTTATTTTTTATTCAAATATATATTGTCCATCCTCAGCACCACCAAAAGAAGGGTATATTATTCAGAGAACAATACAATAAGTGATTCAATGCAACTTAGAATGGTGAAAAACAAATACTGCATTTTTTGCCTGAGTCATTTCTTTACACACGTGAGTATTTTTGTGTGTATATATACAGACTTGTGTGTGTATATTCTCAGAGCTCCTCCCTCAAAAACAAGTAGAAGAAGAGGTTGCTATGGCCAACATCTTTGAGGAGAGGACCTACACATGGATGATATGCAGCTGTCACATGATTGTTCCACTCTTACATACTCCCCACTTATCACCTGTGCTTCCTTGCTTTGTTTTGTCTTGTTTTGTTCCTTTTTTGAGATAGGGTCTTGCTACACAGATCACACTGGCCTTTAACTTACAATCTTCCTATCTCAGCCTCCCAAATGCTGGGATTACAGGTGTGCACCACCACACCTGGGTGGGCCTTGCTTTTTATACACTGAAAAATGATTATCCTCAGAGCCTCTGACCCTTCCTTCAGTGGACTACATGTATACATATATAAAATGTGTTTATATAATATATACTTATATATGTATATATGTAAGTCCCTACCTGTGAGGACAAACTAAAATATAATGTAAATTTGAAAAAACAACTGTGATCATCCTGTTATGAGATGCCTATGCTTGAAATCACAAGGTAATCCATTAACCATCAAACTTGAGATTTAAATAGCTTCCTGACGTTTCAATGAGAAATAAAACATGCTGGTACACACCATTGAAAATAATCCAGCACAGGTGCTCCTGGGGGAGGGCCACCTGCATGATGAGCCGTAAGGACGACAGGATGTGCAGACACTCCCTCACGGACCCCTTATTTTGCAGGTTTACGTCACTCTCACACACCAGCTGGTAGCTGCAAATATTTTTCCTACTCAAAGCATGAAACTGAAACACATAGGAAAATATAAATAACGTTTATACAACTCAGGAAAGGCATCTTTCAAAATGTAAAAACCTAAAATGGAAACAATTACATTTTGTTAGTTTAATAGATCAACACAGAAAGAAACATGATAGGTTTCTTTAAGTCACACATTTAGTTAAGCATAGTTTTTCTTAGTCAAAAGCAATTATAAAGCAAAAAAAATACAAAAAAATTATATTACCAAGACTAAAGAATTGAATCAATTTTTGTGAAGTCACCCAATGGTATGCTGACCTTTTATGAATCCCTGTGTGATTGTTACCATTTACATAATTATCCAGCCAAGGTTGGTTGAGCAGCTCTGTTTGCCACACTCAGCCAGGTAAGAGAGACTGGAAGATGGGGAATGGCACCTGCTCTTGACAGGGGGAAAGAGTTCCAGGTACGTGCAGTGCTAGAGATGCCTAAGGAAGCTGCAGTGGTCCCTGAACAGAATGTCATATGTGATGAGACTATTGTGGTGGCCCAGGGTCAGAACATGGACAATATTTTGTGTCATTGCAGGGAATTTGAACTTTAGCCAAAGAGCAGTGGAATAAAACAATTCTGAATTATCCTTTAGAAATTGAACTTGACAAACTGTGAAAAATGAATTACAGAAGGTGGTGGCAGATGCTACCTATAAGAAAGCTAGGTGAGACCTTTGCATTCATTCCTCTTCCCATGGGGCATCACCTTGCATTGCCTAGTATTCTCATTCATGCACCTGAGGTGCAGCCAAACAGAACTGTTCAGCGGTCCCCCAAACATGTCTTGAGGTCCTCTGCTATTAACCAACCATATGCTGCTTCCAAGACTCTGACTAATCACCAAGTTCGGAATAACACGGATTTGGAATCAGATTGATCAGGGTTCAAACTCCAACCCTACACACAGATTCGAGTGGGCTAGGCCGGCTTCTTAATCTCTAATAAACTTCAGTTTAATCATCTATTAAAAAGGCATAATAGTTCCACTTTTATGGCTGTACTGAGGCTGTAAGAAGATGATTCATACAATAACAATACTCTTTGCTAGATGAATGAGTGACACACTGACACAATCTCCAAAGCACTGTTAGGAAGTTTAGTAAATTCACTTTCTTATCCATGACAGAGAGCACGTATCATACAACTTATAGCACATGGCCAGATCTAAGCCATGAAGGCATTTAGTGGCTGTCAACTAAAGGATATATTGCATAACTAATCATAAATCAGAGCTATTTTAGCTATTTCTTTCAACTTACGGTAAGAGCAGCAGTTTCATCTGCCACGCCTTTTGGAAAAAAGACAATTTTGAACTGATTCACATCTGCTCGATTCTCATCGAAACTGGTACTGAACTGCTGAAGATATCTTCCATAGCACTGCAAAAGGGCCAGTTTGTATTCCTAAAATAAAAAGAGGACTTGGTTAAAGTTTTAAAAATATCTTTTCTGGTGGGACTGGAGTTTGAACTCAGGGCTTCATACTTGCAAAGCAGGCACTTTTCCACTTGAGTTACACCTCCAGTCTATTTTTGGTATGGTTATTTTGAAGACGGGGTCTCAAGAACTATTTGCCTGGGCTGCCCTTGAACCTTGATCTTCCTGATTTCAGCCTCCCAAGGAGCCAGGTTTACAGGTGTGAGTCACCAATGCCCAGCTTCAAATATCATTTTAAGATAAGCTAATTAATCTCCATAGAGTCTTAATATCAATGTGGATTTCTATTACTATTATTATTACCACCACCATTTTCTAAGTACATATGATGTGACAGACACTGCACTATGCAACTTACAAGCATTATTTCATTCAATTGTCCACATACCAAGCCTACTGTGATAGGGAGCCATCATAATTACAATGGAGAATATTAACTTTGGTGCTGTGTGTAGCAAAAGTTACATATACTCAAAATCCAAGCCCCCAAATCCAACATCACCAGATGATAGCAACCCAGAAAGGGAGATGCATAGTCTTGCTACAGAGACAGATGCCTCACTTTTGTCACCCATGGGGCACAGGTGACCTAGAGATTTTCGGGCAGAAGATGTGAGCAGTACTCTAAAGCTGAGTTCCTTTGCAACTCTTCCTCAGCTTCCTTCTCTGCAGCTGTGTCTCCAGGAAAAGCCACTGGCCTGGCCTGGACATGAGTTGCTAACCCAGCTACCTAGTCCCATGGGAGGCATCCACAGTCAAACAGTTTTGCTCATATTTCTATTGATCTGTTTGTTATTTGCTCACTAATTAATGCTGAATCTTTGCCATTCTAACTTGATTGATATAATAAATTCAAATAGATTAAAAACAAGAATATTCTATAAAATCATCTTTGCTGTAACTAAAATTAAAACAAAGACAGTCTACAAATCAAAGTAAGTAACAACTAAAGTTCATTTTCAGGATTATAAATAACTTCTATGAACAACTTTTCCATCAGTGAAAAGTAGATAGAACTTTTTCTTTGTTCCTTTAATTAAATTTTAAAATATCATCTCTAGATCTATCAGAAACACTCTGAATTCTTAGCTACAACTCATCCACTTGCTTTATCAACTTCTAACATTCTCTTTCCTCTTCCCTCAACCAATATCCATCCTCTCCACCCACCTGACAACCCTATATTGCCAGCTTCTCTGATGTAGATCATAAAGACAGAGTGGCCTCTTTCCAAAACTGTTCCTCCAGTACGCATGGATATAGCTTACAAGGTGGAGGTCGCCTTTTAGTTCCCCCTGTAGTTGTCCAAACCCTATATTTTCAAGTTTCAATGAGCCATGGTCCACTTATACAAACCTAAGATTATCTCTAATTTTAGCAAAGGAAAATGGATCTTAGCTCTTTATTATGGAAGTTCTTCCACAAACCAAAAAGATGAAAGTCCAGAAAAAAGAAATAAAGGAGGAAAATTAAGCTGAGAAACTGAAGATTGAGACCACACTGAATACCGTACCTGCCTGGCCTAAAGTCCTTTTGGATAAAATAACTCTTTGTCCAACATTTCATATAACTCAGAATAATTTGGACTTATGCCAGAGTTTATGGGAAAAATTCACATTCTCATTAACTGAAAACCCAATCATGTTATGGTCTTACCAAACTAAGCCCACCCATACATAGCATTTCAAGACCTAGGAATTATTATGGAACTGAAAAATAGGTTGCAAACTCAGTATGGAATACAATACTGAGCAAGAAACAGGACCTGTAAGGAACACATACAAACACAGCAAAACATTCAAAAGAAGCTGAAAGCCATTAGAACAGGACAACTGGGAACTGGGCAACACAACAGCAAGGCCAGTAGCCACAAGGGCTGTAGGCTGGGTAAGGCCAACCATGTGAAAAACAACAGGAAGTGGTGTCTGGGCTCCTTTGTGTAAGGTAGGAACATGATGACTCAGCACTTCCTGCAGTTGGGCCTACCACACCCTCTGTTAACCGGCTGAGCGCCTTCCCCATCTCCAGCCAGCCTCCTGCAGGGACATCTCTCCTGTAGAGAATTTCAACATGAAATTAAAAAGAAAACACTCGTTTCCTTACTGTGCTTCATTAAAATTTTTATGTATTCATGTATTTTTTAAGAAAAACTTAAAAAAATCGTTTAGCCGAATGAGTTTCGTTTTGGCTTTCTACTCCAGAGGCACTTACTTTCATTTGACAAAGGCTATCTCCAACCTTCAGAAGCTTTTCATTATAATAGTCAGCTGGCAGCCTGGGGGCGTATTTGGTCCAGATATTAAACAACGTGGTGGCACTGCAGAAATCATAAAATGAAATGACATTTTCAAAATCAGTGGGAAACCTCAATTAATTAGCAAGAAATCCTTTAAAACTTGTGCTTTCTAATGTGCCTTATTGTTACTGATTATTAATCATAAATGTAATTATAGTTAAAATTAGCGCTTCCTGTGTGCCAAACACTGATTGAAGTCCTTCGTATGCATTTTTAAATATACTTTATATTGTAGAGCAGTTTTGGGTTCACAGCAAAATTGAAAATGCAGAGATTTCCCATACTCCCTCACCCCCCAAGCATGCATAGCCTCCCCCACTATCAATACCCACTACCAGAGTGGTACATTTCTTACAATTGATGAGTCAACATTGACACATGTTATCACCCAACATCTGTAGTTTACATTAGGTTTACTCTTGCTGGTACACATTTAATGGGTGTGAGCATCTGCCATTATGACAGACAGTAATTTCACTACCCTAAAAACAAATATTTTGTGATCCACCTATTTATCTCTCCCTCCTCCATCTGTTAACCACTGGCCTTTTTGCTATTTCCCTAGTTTTTGTCTTTTCCAGAGTGTCATACAGGATGTAGCCTTTTCAGAGTGGCTTATTTCACTTAGTAATCTGCATTTATGTTTCCTCCATGTCTTTTCATGGCTTGATAGCTCAATTCTTTTTAACACTGATTCACAGTAGATTGTCTGAAAAGACGATAGTTTATTTTTGCACTTACCTTCTGAAGGACAAGTTATGCCAATTATAGATAAAGATACTATAAATACCCATGTGTAGGTTTTTATATGGATATAAGTTTTCAAATCTTTTGGGTAAATACCAAGGAGCACAATTTCCAGATCACATGGTAAGAGTGTGTTTGTTCAGTTTTGTAGGAAGCCACCACACTGTCTTCCACAGTGCTGGACCATTTTGCAGCCCCACTGGCAATAAATGAACATCCCTGTTGCTCCACATCTTTGCTAGCATTTGGTGTTTGGCAGTGTTCTAGATTTTAGCCTTTGTAATAGGTGTGTAGGGTATCTCATTGTTTTCATTTGCATTCTCCAAATGACACATAATTTGGAGCACCTTTTCATGTTTACTTGCCATCTGTATATCTTTTGGAGGAGCTGTCTGTTAGGATCGTTGGCCTATTTTTAAAAACAGGTTGATTTTTTTCTTATTGTCAAGTTTTAAGAATTCTTTGTACATTTCAGGTAACATTCCTTTATCAGATATGTTGCTTACAAATATATTCTCTCAATTTTTTAAATATTTCTTCATTCTCTTTGCAGTGTCTTTCACAGAACAGAAAAATTTAATTTTAATAAAGTCTAGCTTATCAGTTCTTTCTTTCATGATACTACATGTAAAAAGTCAGCACCAAGTCCAAGGTCATCTAGACTTTCTCCTATATTATCTTCTAGGAGTTTTGAATATTACATTTAAATATGTTACTTTTTGGGTTAATTTTTGTAACAGGTGTAAGGTCTGTGTCTAGATTCTTTTTCTTTTTGCCATGTGGCCATGCAGCTTTCCCAGCACCATTTATTGCAAAAACTCTCCTTTCTCTGCTTTTGTACTGCCTTTGTTCCTTTGTCAAAGGTCAGCTATTTTATTTCTGAGCTATGTATTCTGTTCCATTGATTTATTTGTCTATTCTATCACCGATATCACAATGTCTTGATTACTATAGCATTATTTCAGTCCTGAGACTGGGCAGTGTCAGCCCTCCAACTTTGTTTTGTTGTTGTTGTTTGTTTGTCTTATTTTCTTTTTGCGACAGGGTCTCACTATATAGTCCTGGCTGGTCTCAAACTTGAGATCCTCCTGCCTCAGCCTCTTGAGTGGTAGGATTATAGACATGCACCACCATACCCAACCAGTCCTCCAACTTTGTTCTTCTTCTTCAATATTGTGCCTGATATTCTGGGTTTTTCTACGTATAGTTTTTTATTGTTTTATTTCATTTTACAACAACCCCAAGATAATAACAAACTGGGTGTTAGCAGTTCACATCTGTAATCCTAGCTATTTGGGAGGCAGAGATCAGGAGGATCAAGATTCCAGGCCAGTACAGGCAAATACTTCAAGAGATACTCCCATCTCCAAAATAACCAGAGCAAAATGGACTGGAGGTGTGGCTTAAGCAGTTGGGCACTTGCTTTGTAAGCACAAAGCCCTGAGTTCAAACCCTAGTCCCAAAAGACGAAAGAAAGAAAGAAGGAAGGAAGGAAGGAAGGAAGGAAGGAAGAAATCCCTGAGGACAAGTAAAATATTCACTGCCCAACCACAAGAGTAGTGAATACCTAGTATATACAGGTACTCAATAAATGTTTATTGAAAGGAAGAATGAATAAATAAATGAATGATTAGAGAATATTTTTCTTGTTCTTAGTTTATTCTTCTCTATAAATAGTTCAAGGGCTCAAATATCCAGTCAATCCATTTATGGGTATGCTTCCTTCTACCAAGTGAAACAAAAAGCAGGGTTAATACCTTTACAAGAAGAGACTACAGTGCTTTCTCCCCCATAACTCTTCTCTCTCTCTCTCTCTCTCTCTCTCTCTTCCTCCTTTCTTCCCTTTCTCCCTCTCTCCCTCTTTCCCCCATGTTTGCTTAGAGAAAGACCATGTAAGGGCAAGCAGTCTTCAACAAGCCAGGAAAAGAGCACTCAGCAGAAACCAACCCCAACAAGTCTTGATCTGGGACATCTAGCCTCCACAACTGTGAGAAAACTAATTTCTGTTGTTTAAGCCACTTAGTCTATTGTATTTTGTTAATGCAGACTGAGCTGACTAACACAGACAGGGATCTAAACTTAAGGACTAAAATTGAATTTACCACTTATGATGTACATGTTAGAATATTAATGAAGCAACCTCTGCAGAAACCTGTCGATTAATTCATTTAGGTAATGAAATGATATTGAGTCACTGATTGAATGAAGGGAGCAAGGCACTTTTATATACTGATTGATAATATTTGGTCTAGAAAAACATATGTTTAAAACATATGCAATTAAAATGCCACATAAATAATGTGGCAAATATAGCCCATAGAAGCTTAAAAAGAGAAAGGTATTTTCTTCATTCATTTTTTATTTTCTTTTTAACTTTCATTTGCTGCTTCACAAAATGCCACAGTATTAGGATACAATGAATTTTTAAAATATACCCAGTCTTGCTAGGATTCTTAAATTATGTAAATGAAATAGATAATTCTTCAAAATCTTACAGATGAGATAATGATGACTAGGTTTATTACTCATAGAAGAAAAATACCAGCTTCATTAAATCAATCAAGACTATATAATAAGAAAAAGGGGGTTTTTGGTGAATTCTAAGTTCAGGTTAAGGTTGCTCATTAGGAATGGCTTACATAATGAATACGCAAATATATATATAATACACACTACAGAATGTACATCATTTAAGGGGAAGAGAATGTTAGTGTACTTTGCATTGCTGATTGATTATATCTGCTACTTGATATTTAGAATGTTCTAAAATAGAAAATTGTAACTATATAAGTGGAATACCTAAATTTTATGTGCTTATGATGAAAGCATACTTTTAAAAATATTATCAAACTTTTATTTAATGACATTGTCAGTTTGGTCAAAATTATATTTTAGGTACTGTGAATTTTTATGCTGATGGGAATTCTTATACTTAGAAGAAACAAGTTTTCTTATTTAAAAACAACCATCTGTCAAATATATTATAAAAGAACTCCTACCTCCTGGACTCCTAACTGGTTCCATGCTACCATTCTTGCTCCATTTGAACATTATCACCAGAACAATATTTTAAAACAAGAATTGCATAAGATTGATCTCTTACTGAAAACTTCCCAAGGGTTTCCAAGTGGATTAGGATAAATGCAAACTCTTTAAATTGCTTCTAAAACCTTCCAAAGCCCTTCCGTTCCTCTAATCTCATCTCTCACCACTGTACCTTTCTGCTAAGTATGGTTCTGTCTGCTCCTCCAAAGAACCTGCTTCTTTACTGCCAAGGATCTTCTTCCATGCTTGTTCCCCTCATGTACCTCTGTTTGCCTGGTCATCTAATCCTAGCTTACTGTCACCTCCCTTACCATTCATTTGAAAGCAAGTTGCTACTGTATTCTCCTTCAGCCTCTGGTCAAGTGTCATAAATCTACTCTAACCAGTTTATTGAAAATCACAACTTGTTTCCAACCCCGTAATCTCTTCCCTTCTCTTTCACCTTAGATTTCAACAATTTCTAGGTTACCTTAAGGTATATCTACTTGATATGTTTATTGTCTCCTCTAGAATATAAGCTCCAAGAGGACAGGCACTTTTGTCTGGTTCACTGCTCCATCCCCGGTGTCTAATACAATGTTTGGCATAAATAAGCTCTCAGCAGCTATTTCTTTCGTAGACTTGTTGTTTGTATGTTGATTTAATGACTCATTCATTAGAAGTCTACCTCCCTCTCTAGACTGTAGGCTCCATGAGCACAGATTCCTATATCTATTTTGTTCACCACTCTGCAATCAGTAACAAGTGCAGTGCCAGCACATAGCAGACACTCAGTTAAAATTATTGCATAAATAATCCTGAAGTCGTGTGAAACACTGGATTGTTGAGGTCCAGGTCAATCTTTAACATTTGTGACTATCTCATATCTCATAGTCTACTTAAAGATGGGATAAATACTTTCCTTACAGATTGACCCAGCCCTACTTTGCTACATATGACATTCACAATTACTGGGAATATAGGGATAATATAACCCTTGAATTCTTGCAATACTAAACATTTATTGAGTGTTTACTATGTCCCAATCCCCAGGTTAGGTCCTGTAGACAGAGTAATGAAAAAGACACTATTCCATATCATCAGGGAGATTACATTCTAATATAGGAGACAGACAATACATAAGAAAATTAATAGGTTAAAAATGTAAATTGATAGGTGAACCTGAATTACACAGGTTTGGATCTCTCTAAGGAGACTAAGCTGAGGTCTCTCAACTAAGCTGAGACCTGAAAGAATAGATGGAGCCACATATTTTAAAAACTTTCAGATGAAAAAGACAGCTAACATAAAGTTCCAAGAGAAGTGATGAACACAGACAAGAGGAAAGCAAGGCCAGATCCCCAAACTCTGGAGGATATCAGAGGAGGCATCTTAATTTTATTCTAAAAGCAATGGAAAGGCTTTAGAGGAGAGTTATTGAGTATTGATAAAGATCACCCTGAACACTATGCAATGGAGGGTTTGTGAGAGAGAGGGACATTAGGAAAAAGTGAAATGGTAGTTTGGACTAAACTGTTGGTAGTGAAAATGGGGGGATAAAAGTACAAACACAGGGGCTGGGAATGTAGCTCAGTGGTTGAGTGTTTGCCTAACATGCATGAAAACTTGGGTTTGATCCCCCAGTACTGCAAAAAAACAAAAAGAAAAAGTACAAACACAGAAACTGTTTAAATATACATGTATAAGCTGAGCATTAGTGGCTCATGCCTGTAATTCTAGCTACTCGGGAGCAGAAATCAGGCGGATCATGGTTCAAAGCCAGCCAAGGCAAATAGCTTGTGAGACCCTATCTGGAAAAAAGCCCATCACAAAGAGAGTCTGGCAGAGTGACTCAAGTGGGAGAGCACCTAGCAAGCATGAGGCCCTGAGTCCAAATCCCAGTGCTACCAAAAAAATTTTTTTAATTAAAAAAAGAAAAAATATATACACATATATATACATACATACATGAATATAGGTTGGGTATGTAATGTGCTGTCCTTGATCAATTATTTCTCTAAGACAGAATCTCATTATGTAGCCCAGGCTCATCTTAAACTCAGAATCCTCCTGCCTCAGCCTCCTGCATGCTGGGACTTCAGATTTGTACCACCATGCCCAGCAAAATGGCTTTTTCTCTACACTCTCCTCCTTGGTCAATTCTTGGTTCTGATTTTACCTGGCTCATCAGCAGGACATGCCACAGGTGATCATTCCTTCTCCTTCAAACAGCTTCTCTCTTTGCTTCCAGTACAACCAGATGTTTACTGATTTTCCTCCTGGCTTCTTGGCCACTGCTTCTTCATCCCTTGTGGTTGCTTTTCACTTCTACTTGTCCCAGGGCTCAGTTCTTTCCTCTCTTTTCCATCCATACTCCTCTCTCAGCTATTTCATAAGATGTCATGACTTAAATATCATTAATAGGCTGATGAATCCTAAATTTGTATCTTCCTTGACCTCCAGATTCAAATGTCCAACCACCTAATAATATGTTGAGTTATAGCTCACTAAAATTAAACTCCCCATCTACCTCCCTCCTACTCTTCTCACCATCGTAATCCTACCGCAGCTCCTTCAGACTTGCCAGTCTCCCTGTGTGGCTTACTCCTGGCATAGAAGTTCTCATCAATTGCTTCTACACCTCCTCATCTTTCTCAAAGGCCGCTTTTTTCTGACTTTCCCTGACCACCCCATGTTGAATTGCAACACTCATCTGATATCTTCCAGTTCCACTCCCTAGTCTGTTTTTCTCTCTAGCATTTACTGCAGGGATCCCTTAACCTCAGGAGATACATTCTAAGACCCCAAGGGGATGCATCAAATCACAGGTAGTGCTGAACGTTATGTATACTGTGTTTTACTCACACATAACGTACCCGTGATAAAAGTTACTTAAAACACAGTAAGATATTAAAAATAATAATAAAGTAGAACAATTATGACAATACACTGTATAAAAGTTATATGAATACAGTATCTGTCTCAAAATATTTTACTGTATTGTAGACGCAACCTCAGCATGTAATATTTTCTCTTTTTATTGAGAACTTTCACTTTTCATTTAAAGAGAGAATTTATGACTTCTCTTTGACATATCTGAGTTGTCAGCATAATTACTGTGGCACTTTGGAGTCATTATTAAGTAAAATGCAGGTTACTTGAACACAAGCACAGTGATACCATGACAGTCCAATTGATAACCAAAACGGCTACTAATTAATGGGCAGGTTATGTCTACAGTAAGGACAAAGGGATGAGTCACAGTCCAGGTGAGATGGAGCAAGACAATATTGCTGAGAAAGGAATACAATTCAAAACTTCAGAATTGTGTATTTCTGGAATTTTCCATGTAATATTTCTTTTTGTTCTTTTTTGGTGATACTGGGGTTTGACCTTAGGGCCTCACGCTTGCTAGACAGGTGCTCTACCACTTGAGCCACTCCACCAGCCATTCCATGTAATATTTTCATGTCATAGTTGACCACAGGTAACTTAAACCACAAAAAGCAAAATCCTGGAGAAGGGGACTACTGTACTTCCATGTTTGTTTAGTAGCTAACTATACTCACAAAAATATATGCTTCATGAGGAAAGGATTTTTATTAACTTTTTGTTAATGTTTTTCTATCTTCTAGAAATGTACTGATATATAGTAAGTGCTCAGTAAATAGTTGTTAGATGTATGAATGAATAATACTTGTAAGTTAAAATGTATTTCTTCATATTATATGCACAAACAAAAATACAAGTTAAATATATGCGTATGTTAAAATCATTCACTATTTTGGTATTCTTTGCCATTTGTCTACATTTGTAACTCTTCACTTTGCAATGTATTTGACCAAGAAAAAGGATAACATAAACAGGAAAGAATCTTAAAAATAGGTAGCTTGCAGTTCATAGTAGTAACATGGTGATAGAATAAAAAACAAAAACAAAGCAAGGAGATATGCCGAATGAGTCACAAACCCAAGGGGAAAAGTTTCCGTAATCCTAACTGCAATATTACAAGAGTTAGATGCACATGTTCACAGGATGTCATAACTCTGGTATCAACAACTTCTTTGAAGAACCTAAGCCACCTCAAAGTTATTCCTTTGTCTTGGAATACAAACCTGTATATCCACAAAATGGAAAGTTGTGAAACCCTGTAGTGAACCAAAAATGATTAGCCTAGACTGGCAATTAGGAGGCACTGAGGAGAACAAAAACCAGGGAGTTAGGAAACGTGTCTGGGTTGATTTTTATTTTGACCTGAGCAGGAAGCCGAGATGTGACATGTAGCGGGAATGAAGGATTCAGTGCCACGGCGACGATCTCCACCTGTCACACCTGCACCTCCTCGGGGGAGTCTCCTCCTCCGGCGCCCTCCCCAGCGCCCGGCCTGGGCTTACCAACGCCGCCGGAATTCATGCTTCTGCTCCTCCGTGGTCGCTAACGCCTTCTTTTTCTTGATAAAACCTAACAACTCCCGGATCTCCTTCTCGAAAGAGGAGAGCAGCGGGTTTTTAGCGTCCAACGGCCCGTAAAAAGCGGCGATGGGCAGCGACTCCTCGGGACACGACCAGCGGAACAGTGGGATGGAGGAGCTAGTCTTCGAATCCAGGGACGACTTCAAAACGGCGGTCGAGGTCGGGGGTGGAGTGGGTGGCAATTCAGGCGGCGATACCGAAGAGGGCGACGCCTCAGAGGGAGAGTTCATCTTGAGGCCCGGCGCCGCCACGTTCACTTGACCACCGCCGGCCAGGAGCGTGTGTATGTACACGCGGTTGCTTGGCAACGGTATCGCGGCAACCAAGCATCCGGCGCGCCTTCCGGGAAACACAGCGACCCCTAGAGGGCAAAGGAAGAAAAAAAAGGAGTCCAGAAAGTAAGGATGCTCTGGAGGTTGTCCTGCTGTCCACTGGCACCGCTCAATGAAATGAGAATGGAAAGGTTTTGAACTGAGGCAGCCAATGGTGGAGTGGAAATCGTGAATGGAAAGGTTTTGAACTGAGGTAGCCAATGGTGGAGTGGAAATCGTACCATCAAAAATCCAGGCTATACTTTTTTTTCTATTTTAATCACTTAATATTGTGTCAGGCATTTCCTAAGCATTTGAAACATAGTGTCTTTTATACCATTTAGTCATCAAAACAACTTCACAACTTAGGGTACTCTTAGTGTCTCAAATGCTCCACAGTTTAGGAACTGGAAGCTTAGTGGGGGTTAAATCATTTGACCAAGGTCAGAGTAAAACTGCAGTATCAGAGACCGGGTCCTAGTCTTGTGACTCCAAAGCCCACACTCAGAACAAATTAGCTATATTGGTTAATAAGCTTGAAGCTTATTAATCAAATCGAAATTGGGAAACTCCAGGACAAGCAGTTTAAGAATCAAGGACCTGGTTTGGGGTTGTGGTTTGAGTGGTAGAATACCTGCCTTGCAAATGTAAGGCCCTTTGTTCAAACCCCAGGACTGCCAAAATAAACGAATAGATAGATAGCTCTATATTATGATTCCAGTAATATAAAAATTAAAAATCAAGTGCCTGCCACTGGTCATTAGCTTCTATTTGTACCTTTGAGGTCTGCAACTATGAGAACTATGTCTGTGCCTCTAATAATTATGATTACATCTACTTACTTACATTTCAACCTTATTCTCATTATCACTATATTCTAAATTAATGTCCATTTAACTCAACCTTAACTATTTGACACTAATGCATAGTAATGTCTTGAGCTGTTAACTCATGACTTGAAATGTCAACTCTCAGAGTACTTTTCCATTTTTAAACAGGGATCTCAGGAGATGTTACTTCTAATGAACAAACTACAGGCCTTAAAGGAAATACTTAGTGGCAAGGGAAGTTCTTTCCCTACATATCATGGGCCACAGTGAAAATCAAATTTATTAATTTATAGCTTGAGTTCTGACTACTGGGGAACATGCCTTCCTTATAAATTATGCAGTGCCAAAAATTATCTAAGAACCAGAGGTATTTGATGGCTTCAAAAACTAGGTCTCTAACAGTGAAAACTGTTACCACTTCTTTCACATTCAAAGACTGTGACCCTAACACCATGTGAGCCCAATTTCCCATTTATGATTAAGAAGCTTATTAGACTACAGCCTGAGTGTTTTCAGCTCTGACCTAATTTCTTGCAGACTCTGTGGGACTGTGCTAATTCGTAAGGCTAGTCTAATATGCTATCTGTACTGTACCCTAGTATTCTTTGAAGGAAGACAACAGTGATTTTTGCTCATTGTGGCAGGTAATTATGGCTAAAAACTTTCCTGTCAACCAGTGAAAGTTAGTGACACCTAGAGTCCTAGTCTCAATCAGGCAATCGGGATGTAGATATGATCTGTTTTGTTTTGTTTTGTTTTTTGAGACAGGGTCTTAGGGTCTTGCTGCATAGCCAAGGCTGGCCTCAAACTCCAACTCCTTGGTCCTCTGCCTCTCTAGTGCTGAGATTACAGCCATGTGAGATATTCTTTCACAAAGATTTTATCTTGTCGCTAGGTGAACAGTAAAAAATTTAAGACTCTAAAGAATTTAGGCCTAGGGGGAAGGGGAAGTTCATCCTCAGGGCTTTTACCAAAAAAATATTAATAGACTGTTTAAAAACAAAATTAGCTTGGTAAATCCTCTAATTCTCATCTTTCTCTTTTTTTTCACATAGCAGACTTGTCCACTTCAGATCAAAAGCTTAGTGCAATTTGCCACTGAGAACTATCTGTATATTGATGAAAAGTGAAACAGCAGGATTCAATTAAATTAAAGTGGTCAGAGAAGAGGAAAGAAAATAAAAATAAAACAGACAAAGTAGGATTTTTCCCATGTGGTCTGGTTGTTCTCACAAATGACCTTTCTCCTACTGTTTGAAGTTCAAAGTCACAGGTAAAAGAAAATGTGGCTAATTAAATTCAAATACTTGAATTATGAAACATTGCATCTTAGTCATCTTTCTCCTTGCACATACTTTAGTTAACAATACTTAACTTGCATTAGTTTTTGGAAGCTTCTCTGAATACTAAATGGATGTTATGTTCAAAATCATGGTAAGAGGGAAGTTTCCATTTTGTACAGTTCAAATTATATTCAAGGCATTTTTTAACATCTTAAAGATGTGATTTTTCTGGTAATGAGATGCAGCCATTATAATATCTTTTCTATTTGCTTGACACTTTGCTTTATTCTTTTCACTGTAATGAAAGAATGGAGCTAGGCAACTACTGTGTCTGACAGGGCTAAGTAATGTAAATAGCTTCCTTATAAATAATGTAAATTGCTGTTTCCTATAATTAATGCCTCTGCAGGCTGCAGGGATCCTTCTTGCCATTTGAAATTCTTTTTCATCTAAAGTTACTGTTAGAAAAATAATAAATAAGGTTAGTGTTCTTTCTCGTAGTAATTTAGTTGTTAAACACTTGAACTGTCCCAAATAGGTAGTCTTAAAAAAAAAAAAAAAAGCACAAAAATCTCCCTTTCTCACATCGCCAGCTAATATGTAGGCTTAAAAACTTTTTTCTTTTTAAATCCATCCATTCAGTTAAATGCAACCATTTCTCTAGTGTGTCCATAGAATGCATAGTTGAGACCACACATTCCCCACAGGTGACACCTATCACAACTAACCATGATTGAAAGACATGCTGTGGGGGGTGCTGCTCTTAAAAAAAATGTTATAGGAGTTCCAACATGAAGCTTGGGACGGGAGAGAAAACAAAAGATTGTAGAAGAAATGACACTTTCACTCTGGACTGTAACTGTCCCTCATTAGCAGAAAGAGAACCCTGCAACAGGGGCTTGCCTGTGTACTGTAGTAACAATGTCGCCCCAAAACCCAGGCCAGGCCCAGAAAAATCTTTGTTTGAATGAGGAAATGAAAAAAAAAAAGACGAAGACCATTTAGAAAGGTATCCCTGAATGAGAGAAAAGTCCGAGAACACAAACAGCAAGTAAACAATGTCTAGTGCAGTGGGCCCCAAACTGCAATACATTAAGAGGCACAAAAACAAAATGAGGCAGAAAAGGAAGTATGATCAAAAACAGTTTTGTAGTTGGAAAGTGGGCTCAGAAATTTGCACTTGGCTTTGTAAGCAGCAAAGCTCCTTGACTAGAAAAACATACATTCCTCAAGCTATGACTTAGAAATTTTTTTACTTTACTATAGCGGGAAAGTATACCCATTTGACCATTCTGGTTTTTTTTCACTTTCAGAACAGTGTTCTGAAAAGCATTCAATAAGTTACATGAGCTATTCAACCCTTCGTTATAAAATAGGCTTTGTACTAGATAACTTTGCCCTACCATAACCCAATGAAAGTATTCCGAGCACACTTCAGGTAAGCTAGGCTAACCTACGATGTTTGGTAGGCTAGATACATCAAATGTATTTTTAACTTATATTTTAAACTTGCAATGGTTTTATAGAGACATAACCCCATAAGTCAAGGCACATCTGTCTAACATAGAGATTAAAAGCCCAATTCTGGGGCCAGAAAGCATCATTTGAATCTTTAGTTCCTCCAAGTTACTCAGCCTCATTATGACTTGTTTTCTTCATCTGTACAATGGGGCTGAAATAATAATAATGCTGTGTCAAGTCTCTGTTCTGGTTAGAAATCAATGATAATATATTTAAAGCCCAAAGAACAGTGCCTGGCACATAGGAAATGCTATGTAAATGTTTGCTAATTATAATTATTGAATTGGAAACCACAGAAAGTTCCTAAGCAGAGCAGTATAAGATCTAGTCTGTATTTTATATTTAGAAAGGAAATTATTATGGCAGAATAAAAGATGGATTGAACTGAAGATTTTACCTCACCTCAGCTGTACAGATTATCACAGTAATTATATATAATCAACAGAGAAGTAGCCAAACTAAAACTATGGATAGACACTGAGGCAGAATCACTAAGAAACCAAATTCTAACCAATAAAATAAAGCGGTGTTTCCAGGTGCTGGTAGCGTATGTCTATAATCTTAGCTACTCGGGAGGCAGAGATTAGGAGGATCATGGTTGGTGACCAGTTCATGAGACCCTATCTCAAAAAAACTCAACACAAAAAAAGACTAGTGGAGTGACTCAAGTGGTAAATCACCTGCCTAGCAAGACTGAGACCCTGAGTTCAAACTCCAGTACCACTAAATAAATAAATGGATATTTAGAGAATATTATGTAACTTATTTAAGAAATATATATTATATTTCATAATATATAATTTTAAAGTAGTAAAAGAAATTTTAACAGAATGTACTCATGATCTTGAACAAGAAGTTACTCTAATAGCTACAAAAGTAAAAGAAGAAAAAGGGAAATACTGATCATCTTGAATCCATTAAGATAAACTTTTGGAAGCATGAAAGATAGCAAAACAAAAGTAGAAAAACAAGCCACCCACTAAAAGATATTTGTCATGTGTAACCTACTGTGTTTGTACCATTTTGATAAATATCGATTGCCAGCTCAGATCGATGGGAAGACCAGATAGATAGTTTACCTTTTGAGTAAACCAAACAGATTTACTTAGTACAAGATTTCAGTGGAAGTCGGTGTGGTCTGCATACAGACCAAAGAGATCAACCACATTATCAAGGACAGAGAGCTATATGCTTCCCAAACCTAAAAGCCTCACCAGTGACGCAGCTTTCAAATTTTTGATGCTTGCACTGCAAAATCTGCAATTCCTCTGGAATGCAATATTGCTTCTAATTTCATAGTTTGGTATGGACAGTTTCCTATCCTTCTACAGCCTGTTATAATCAGCTTTCATTCCAGAAGTTAAAGTTAGGGTTCTGCTAAATACTGTCTCCTCTCCAATCAAGCAAAGCTATGGATAATGGGGAAACTACTGTATTGAGATACACTTTAAACATATTCCCCCCCTGGTTTCTGCTAATGCCTGTTAACAGGATCCTGCATTTCCTTTGGCATGTGGTCTATTTCTTCTCAGAGCAGGACTTGTAATTTCCTGCTCAGGCTGTGCTGAAACCTGACTTTGCTTTTCAGCCAGGAGGCAATCAAGTACGTTGGGGTATATTTTGAGGAAAACAAGCCCCATCTTCAAAGATGCCTGCTTCAGATTAGGTCATCATGTGATCCCCCCAGGCAAGCATAAACTGTTTTTCTCTGGCAAGTGGTTAGGAGCACTTTCTGCCATAGAGAAGGCTCTGAGGAATGTAGGAACTCAAAATTCTTAGGCTGTGTATGTAAATGTCTCCATTTCAGGTCTGTGCACCCCACACTTGGAATATCTGCTATATAATCAGATCCTAGGTCTGGTTTTCAGCAGTCTTCTCTGCATTTGCCTCAGGCTAGAATGAGGCACTCTGTCTTTTGAAATATTGCTTAAATTTTCTATTAACTGCCCTAAGTCAATACGATCCCTGTTGCTCTCAGATAAGTGGGTAATTTAACTCTAAAATTCCATCCTGGCGATCTACTTTTTATTTCTCGCTCCTATCCTGTTGGGTAGCTTTAAAAACAGAGCTTGAGAAAAGGGCTTAAGTGATAATGTTTTATATGCTGGTGTAATTCCCATGGATTACAAGAATGAGGGAAAAGGGAAGTGAGACAGAAATGAATGGAAAGGAAATATGATGGCCAATGAATCATGAGGAGACACAGCCAGTTGCTCAGTCATGTGGGATAT